CTTTCCACTAACTGCCTAAAAGAATTTAAGATAGAAGGCCTATTCCAGGAAGGACCTAACACCATAAGATAAGTATAGTATAATGTAAAATAGCTGTGATAGAAAGGCACCAACAAGCCTGTTTTTATCAAAGTTCTGTCTCTCGGGTCACATTGTCTGTAGATGGCCCAGAAAACACTTGTTAACAAAATTTTCATTTCCATCTCTATGTAAATTGCCTCCTCCATCTGAAGCCCCAAACCACTACCCCCAACATCATCCTTTGTTTTTAGCGGAAGATGATATTTGAGGTTGCAGCTTTGGCCATTCTGGCGAGTTGCTCAGTTTTCCTGAGTTCCTTCCATGTATATATGTTATAAAGCTTTGTTTGATTTTCTCCTGCTATTCTGCCTCATGTCAATTTCATTCTTAGACCAGCCAGAAGGACCGAGAGGATAGAGGAGCTGTCTTCCTCCCCTACAGCATCCAGATGCTGCTTCTGTGGACATAAGTGACCATACCAGGGGACTCTGGAAAGCCAGCCACACTCCAGGGGGCCTGAAGCCTGTGTCTACCTGAACAGAAGAGTTACAACACGGGATGCTCGTCCCTCAGGACTTGTCCAGGCAGCTACCATCCTGTTCTCAGAACCAATGAGGCCATGGATGCTGGTGTCCAGAAGGCAGGCACACCATCAGGGACTCCAGCAAACACCTGCAGCCTGTGTTCCCCTCCATGGGAGCCTGCTTCCCGTACTCCCAAAGGGGACCCAGTGGGGTCTCCTCAGCCGGGTTGAGAACCTTTAATCTGGTCCTACCTCCTCCAGCAGGCTTAGACCTTGGGGAGCAGTAATTCACCCAGTGTCCCTTCAGGGGCAAAGGACTCCCTGCGCCATGCTAACCTAAGCCTGCCACTAGCCACACAAGACCTGGGGCTCAGATTCTGCCACAGAACCACGAGCAGTAGGACAGGCCTGTCCACAAGACATAGTCTGCGCCCTCATTAGCCCCCAGGAGTCTTGAGAGCATTGGAGATGCCAGGCATGGTGAGGAAGTCCAGATTTTGGCCAACTCCTGTGTGAAGCCTAACCAGGAACGTGAGGTTCGCTAGTTAACACTTAGATCATGCACTTGCAAGGGCAACCCCCCACCCACCCTGCAGGCCCCCAATCTCTGAGAACAATCTCAGGGACAGGTGACTCTTTTCACAATGTCCTTAGAAGTGGCAGAGTCTGCTGGCAGGGCAGGCCCCTGCTGGGAAGGATGCTCGTCCCACTGCCTTCCCTGAGCCTGGCCCTGGGGTAGCCACCGTCCTTGTCAGACCTCACTGCATTCTCATTCCTTCAGAAGAGGAACTGTGTCCCCAGTGGACTAACCAGGACACCCAGGCTCACGGAGAGACAGAGACTTGCGTGTGGTCACCATGCTGGGCAGTGTGGGGCCAGATTTGGGTCCTCTTGGTTTCAAAGCCCACTGCCTCCTCCCATGATGCTGGTAGGGACCTCTTTTAAGCTTATTTTAAAGGCAGAGTTTCCTTTTTAACATTTGTGGAGAAAAAATGTTGCATAATTTGAAATGAGAGGGCAGCCTTGGTATTTTGGAAGTGACGTGGGAGATTAAGAGGAGCAGCAGCTTTCAGATCCCGCTCAGCGCTCAGTCGCTGACTCCCTGAGGCCCCCGCCTTCTCAGATGCCGCTGCTGCCGGCCGCCTAGGCTGCAGCAAGGACTGCCGGGGATAACGTGTCAGTGTCCAGCTCACGGTCTGACACTGAGGAAGTGCTTGAAAATTTCACGTTCCTTCCTTTCCCCAATCTGATACTTAAAAAACTTACTTTTCAATAGCTAGCACATTTGCTTAGTTCCAAATTTAAAAACAGGATACTGTCGAAGTGGTCAGTCTCTCCCGTCCTCATCCCTACCCCCACAGTAACTCTGTAATTGGTTTTTTGGGTATCCTTTCAGAGTCCCTCTGTGCATTTACAAGCAAACATCAAGAGAGTGCTTCTCCCTCTTTAGACAAAAATGGAGCATGTCACTTACACTGTTCTGTGCCTTGCTTCGCTCAGCTAACGTTAACGCCCCAGAGCTCGGCCTGCATCAGCTGCTTTTGCAGCCCCCTGGCATTTGGCTGTGGGGCTGGACCGCTGTTCATGTAATCAGCCTGCGGAAGGGCAGGGCTGTCTCTCATCGCGCCCCTCTGTGTGCACCCTCCCACACAGGCAGGAGGGAACCAAGAGCTCCATTACCCAAAGCGGGGCTGCTGAGTCAGAGGCCGTCAGCAGTTAATGTTCACGAAATGTTAGGATGTTTCATGTTGCAACTGCCTTAAAGCCAAGATGTTTTCCACAAAAAGCATCAAATAAGCAGCAGCTCTGGCTCGCCTGGGAACTCAGAAAGGCTGAGGGTGCTTCGGCTGGCACAGCCCCTGCAAAGCCATGCAGAGCAGTTGGGGTGTGTCCTTCCGTACCCGGCCATCTCCTTCCCCGGGCAAACCAAGGTCCCCCAGGCTGGGCCCAGGGCCTCCAAGCTGAACTCAGAGCTGGATTTTAACAGACAGCAGTGGTTGTGGCTGACAGGAAGGATGAGGGGCTTCCAGGGCGGATAAGGCTTTAGAAAAGGGGGAGCCGATGTCCTATTTCTTCACTGCTCTCTGGAGGTGCTCCAGGCAGGGGGCGCCCCTTGTGTCAGAGCAGACCCCGTCAGATAGAGGCTGTGCTGCCGGGCAAGGGTAGGCTGTCAGGCAGGCTTCCAGGCCTGTGGTGCTGGCAGGGGAATGGCTTTCTACCGACAGCTCTTAGGTCAGGTGCCATTTCCCTGGAAGCCAGCAAAAACATTCACCTTGATACAAAGAAAGCAAACAGCTTTCAAAAATCCTATCACTGGACATGAAAAGAAGTCTAACGCTAGTGTTTGGACGGCTCTGTGCCTGAGTTTCAAGAACTGATAGGCTGCTAAAAGGTTTAGATGGTCGGGCTGTTAACTCTCACTTCCAGGAAACCACTGACAAAAGGGATCAGAGATGAGAGCAGAGAATGATGCAAGAATGTTTATAACAGTGTTAGTTACAACACCAGAAACCCACAATCCAAAAGTGCCTCTACCAGGAGACGGGTAAAGGACGCCTAAATGACAGGGTGTTACACAGCTGTTAAAACTTTGTTTCAAAGGACGTTCACTAACTCGAGGGCACTAAAATATGTTCGGAGAAGAAAAGCAGAAAATAAAACAATGAACACGCAGGGGTCCCACAGGTGAGGTCACACCCATGCAGAGAGCAAGGCTGGAGGATGCAGCTGGGGTCACAAGTGGCAGATACTGTCTACTTCATACTTTCTCTAACTTTCCACAATGAAGGAATATTACTCAAGAATCAGGGGGGATAAAAGCCTCCACTATATAGGAGCCATTTTTTAAAAGTAGGTAAGATAAAAAAAAAAACAGAACTGATGTGTGATAATGCAATGGCTAAACAGCATAGAAAACTCTAATTCCTAAACCAAGAATTCCTCAAAGGAAGACATTTTCTGAGTCTCTCAATCGAGGCTTCAGATGGCTGTTTACAGACAGCAAGAATGTCATCACTACAGAAAAATCTGTTTTGGTCTGTCTGAATAGCTCTCTTCTCAGCCTGTAAGAAGTGGCACCAAGTTGGAAGGACCGAAGGAGCTTCTGGCCATTCCTGTGATCTTGGGTGTCATTTCATGAGCTTATTTTTTCTAAAGACATCAAGACAGATGGTGACTTTTTTCAAAGCCTGCCTTCAAGACATCTCTGCATCTAAAGCATTTCACCAAAAGGATGTGGTGAGAAACCATTTCTCTGTTATCAAGAATAAGGCTGAAGGGTACGCCTCCTCAACTTGGGAATGAGAACAGAATCTTTTCCACACGCTAGTTTGTTCTGGTGCCACCAGCTCTGTCACTAGCTGTGTGACCTTGGGCAAGTCACTTACTCTTTCTGAGTCCCAGTCTTATCATTTTGAAAGGAGGACATGAGACTATACTATCCAGAAGTCCCTTTCACGCCAGAAGACTACAATGTGAAGACCTTGCTGAAGGGCAGGTCGATCCTGGATAGACCTCAGCGGAGGAGCAAGTATTTCGGAATGGATCAGAGATCAGAGGGATAAAAACTCCATACATGCAGCATTTATGAGGTGCCTGCTGGGTGCAGGATGGCCACAAAGCCTGAAATGGGACACCTGCTCATAAGGTAACTACCACCATGGGGCAGCACATGAGACAGAAGCACAGAGGGCACAGAGTGCAAGAAGAATTTCAAGGGAGACAGCCCAGAGATGCTGAGCCCAAGGCTGGGTGGGAAGCAGCTGGGCCTGAGTTTCCTCTTGGGACACCTCCCCGACCTCCTTGGGGCCCCTCCGTGCAGGGGCAGCCTCGCTCTGCTGCGATGGCGGCTCTGGGGCATTTCTTCTACCTACTCCTCCTGCTGGGGCTAGCTTTGAACACTGGGCTCTGCTCTCAGCTCCCGATTTAGATTTAGTCCCAGACTTGGGATTTCCGAGCCCCTGGGACAGCTCTCCATACCCCGCGTGTGACGCGTGGGACTGACCCCTAGCTCTTAACTGTCCGTGGTGCCCTCTCCTGAGTTTCAGACCCGTGAGAGTCCCTGTCCTCCTATCGTTTAGAACTCCTAGTGCCCACTTGTAGTGAACTCCCCTGGGGAAGAAAATACAGAATAATAAAATAAAACCAGCAAGGGCTCTGAAATGGAAAGAGGAGTTGACAACACCCTGGGACTGGAGTTCCGGAAGGCACTGGAGGTGGGCAATATTTAATTCAAAAGACGAACTGAAAAGGCTTGATTCTCGCCTCCAGTGAGGCATCAGGTGTCCACGGAGGGGAGGGTGGCTTATCCACACCCTGTCATGGAACAGAAGCCACCACTCTGTTTGAGCTGGGCCAATGGGTAAAGGGTGGGTGAGGGCAAAAAACGTCCGTCTGTCCACTTCCCCACCTTCAGGCCCAACTTGCAATGAAACTGCAAAACCTCTTCTATACTTACTGGCATAGTTTTGTCTCCAAAGAAATAAATGGTCTTATAGCCGTCCTTCTCCACATGTTGCAGGCAATACCTCTTGTCCCATCCCTCAGGAAAGACATCGAAGCTGATCTGGCCTCCTGCCGGGCGGGGAGGGGAAGCACAGAGGCCAGGGGTGAAAAGGGGGCTGCTCTGAGTCACTGAAACCAGGGAGCAGGTCACTCCTGCCAGCAGTTCAACAGCCACGGCTGGTTTTCAAGGCCCTCGTTTACTCCTTACACTACTTTTGGGAGGTTCTAGAAATGAATTCTACGTTATGTTTTCTTCCCAACATTATTTCACCTAAAGTCTAAAAATTTAAAATCTAAAACTGAGACCTAGAGTGCCAACCGGGAGTGAGGAATGCTTTTGCACGGGAGCGCTCCGTGAGGCGAGCGCGTTTAAACGATGCACACTGGTAACAATCTGACAGCAGCCTCAGTCAGCTGTGCTCACCGGGGGTTTTAACACGCTCAGTGGAAAACGTCTGGAAGAGGGCTGCATCCAGCTCATCTTGCAGGCAAAATGAAAATCACAACGAAGGTGATTTACAGGCAGCTTTCATCGGCAACAAAGACCCTTTCAAAGCTTTGTCAGAAAGATGTTCATCTCACAGTTCAAGATACTTAAAGATCCACCCATTCATCTATTATACATAATTCTTTGCAACCCCAGTTTCCCTGCAGCCCGTACATTTATCAGGGCTTGTAAAATGAGACGGCTTTGAGTAATCACTCATCAGCACTGACAGGAGAAGTCGGTGTGCTTAAAGCATTTGACAGTCGTATTCGACCAAAAACAAGCCTGAGACGTCAGCTCTGCAGGAAGAACTCGGCACCAGCCAGCAGAAACGTTCATGCCTCAGTCTGCCATTGCAAACAAAAGCCATGTGAACTCAGACAGCCCCTTTTCCATTCTGGCCCTTGGTTTCTTGATTTGTAAAACCAACCCAAAGGACTGCTAAGGTCCCTCGCCGTTCAACCACTGTATGACTCCAGAACACCTTCAGCCTAATTTATCCAATGGGCTCCCATCCCATCTCTCCCCTGTGCAGTTCACCATCTGCTTGTCTTCTGCTCAAAGGTGTGAGGACAGTTCTGACTCTTCATTAAGCAAGACACTCTGATTTTTGACCAGGAGAAGTGCAGGTAGGAAGAAGCCTGCTGGGTGGGAATTTCGAAGCAGTCCCGGCAGCCTGGAAGTCATATCCTCACTGGGCAAACCTCTGCTGGGGCTGATTATGCAAGCGAGTGGTTTTGCCCTGCAGACGGACTGCTGGTTAAATCCTCTTCCCCCCCCCAGAACAGTGGGCAGAGTCCAATTTCAGCTCACTGGCCCACAGCAACCTCCTGGCAAACCGACAGCAAAGCTTGAAACGCATTTGAATATACAATACCTATGGAAAACGTGAGGCCTTTTCCTGCGAACTCTTTCTGCAGATCCGCTACAAATTTTTGTCTTATATTTTCTTTCTGAGGAAAACAAAAAGATAGCAATTGTCTATTGTACTGCAGTTCAGAAAGCACACTTTAACTACTGGCCACAAAGTGGCACACCTTATCTTCATAAACCCGGGGTATTTCAGAAAGACTCACTTTATCCAGTTCATGGAACTCAATGCGTTCTTCCTGGCTGCAGCTTCTCCCAATAGGGGACACATTTAACATCCCGTTTCGGAATTCAATGAAAGTGCCCCTGGGGAGGAGAAGGCAACAGAGGTTGGAGAGAGACGTTACTCATGTGGGTAACAATATAGATGGGTAAACAGGTAAAAAGTTGGGCAGTTCTCAAAAGCAGAGGCTGGTGTGATCAACATTTCTCAGAGCTGTGTGGGACCACATGGTAGCCATGAGCCACACGTGGCTAATCTGAACTGAGATTAGATTTCAAAGAATTAGTATGAAAAAGGAATATAATCATCATTGATAAGGTTTTATATTGACTGTTGAAATGATTCTATCTTGGATATAATGGGTTAGATAAAATATATTATTAAAATTAATTTCACCTGTTCCTTCTGCTTTTTTTTTAAACGTGGCTACAGAAAACTTAAAATTGCATGCATGGCTCACATTATATTTCCGTTGGGCAGAGAAGGTTATAGTTCATAAAGAGCTATGACAGTGATTACCAGCTCCTCAAGAGCAGTCATCACTTCCTGAGGAGTGTGGAAACACACGCCCCAGACATTACTTCATATTCCAGCCAAGCCTCTTTACTAAAAGCAAACCCACCTCTTCTTTGGGAGTTTAATTTTCGAAATGTAGCTCAGACAGTAGTTGATTAAATCTTGGATGAGGGCCTCACCCAGGTGACCTTGAATACTCTGCATAAAGAAAATGAAGGGGTTACTTGATTCAGCGGGAGGCATTTTCAAAACGGCCTTCCGGCAAACCCACGGCTCCGGCCACTATCTGTCAGGGGTCACTTGGCTGACACAGGGGGGAGGGCGACACGCCCCACTGCCTTTCTCCCTCTTTCCCTTCTTTCTCTGGTTGAAAACATTAGGCAAACCAGAAAGGGCTTTAGTCAAAACCATTTCCTGCCTCGTTACTTAGGATTTCTGTATTCGTTCTCTTCCAAAGGCTTCATGGGAGGCCCAGAGTTTACTGATGCAGCTTTTATTCAATGAAAACATCTACAGACACTGATAGAAAGTGTATTCGGTGCACTTCGGCTTTCTCTTATGTCTGAACAGAATGATCGCACTACTCATAAGAGCTACATGGTACCTCTTCAAACAGCTGTAGCGAGGCAGCCTGCCTTAGTCGCTGCTATCATAACAGAAATATTAGATTAGTATCCTCAAAAACAATTATAAAAATTGAGTTAACAGTCTGGAACATGTAACAGTCACATGGTTCAACACTCAAAATGGAAAATACAGGGCGAAGAGTCATTCCCACCCATGTTCCTCAGGTCCCTAAATACCTCCCAGAGGCACTCAATGCCAAGTACCCTTTTAGAAAGCATTTTTCTAGAAGCAGACACCAGTTTGGATAGTCAAGAACCTACCTGTTTACACACGAGTTTCCCGTCCTTGTACGCTACCAAGCCATTTTCTGGAAACACATAATCGTATTTTTCAACCACTGCAACCAAAACAAAAGAAAACTTAGAATGCGATGAATCGAAACCTGTGTTTCTATTTCTTAATTAACACCTATCGCCAATAAGACTGCTAAACTCCAGTAATGACTATGAAAGGCTATCCCATCTTAACAGACCGGGAGAGTGGAAAGAAGCTCCTTAAAATTTTTTTTAAAAGGCTCTTCATTCTTAGTTTAAAATCTGATGTCTGGGCTGGAGATCGGAGACTTGGGAGGGGCCATTTCACGCCTCTGCCTTCAGCCTGCCCATCTGTAAAGACAGGGACCACTGACGGCTCCCAAGCCTCTCTGTGAGTCAGCATTGCCAGGGCAGCAACAAAAACATGCAGGTTTCTAGGCTCTGTTCTCAGGCTTTCTGAATCAGAATCTGCAGGGGCCAGACTAAAAATCACATTTTTTTTAAAAAAAGCTCTTTAGGTGATTCTTGTATTCATGCAGATTTGGAGGCCACCCACATAAATCTTAACGGATGCTCAAACTTCAGGCGCTTGTCAAACTGCAGACTCCAGGCACCGTGTGTTGGACGGGGGGGGGGGGGGGCGCCCATATCTGTATCTTAACAAGCTCCCCACGTGATTCTGATACAGGTGGGTCTTCAACTTTCCTCTAGCTTGTGAATGTTTCGATTCTGTCATTTTGACTCACACTCTCTGAAATGTACAGACACTGTCCTACCCTGACACACAACCTCGGGGAGCCTGTGGTTAAAGACATGAGCAGACACAGAAAGGGGACTCAGGACCAGTGACAGGATTTCCGGCCCTACTGTGCCCATTACGCTGTTTACAGCGTGTCTGGGCAGAGCACCTACACGGAAGATTAAGTGTAAGCAGAACAGAGTTTTCAACAGGCAGCACAGACTACTCTTTCAGTAACTGACCCACTAAGGACAGTCCACACAGATGGGACTTTAAGACGTTACATCTTCAACAGCGGTTCTCAGCCGGGGTGATTCTGCCCCCTAGAGGACACCTGGCAATGTCTGGAGACATTTTTGGTTGTCACACTGCAAGTGGGGCTACCGGCATCTGGTGGGTAGAGGCCAGGGATGCTGCTGAACGTCCTACGGTGCACGGGCCAGTCCCCCACGACAGAAAATTATTTGGTCCAAAATGTCAACGGTGCTGAAGAGAATGATCAATTCATGTTTCTCCACCCACTATTTCTTATAGGCTGGGCACCCTGGAGGTCCTGGGCCGCGAGATGAATAAGCCATAGTCCCAGTCTTCAAGACGAACACATAAGCAGACAGTTCCCAACCATCTGAGAGCGCCACGCTAGCAGGCTGTGCGTCAGAGTCTCTTGAGGGGAGTTGCTAAAATATAATTCCCAGGACTTAGAGAAGACCTGTCGAGTCAGAATCTCCAACGAAGGGGCCAATAAGAAGCCCACCTTCCCAGGGTCCTGTGCTAGGGACTCGGGTTCAGGAGGTGGGGGAGGGTGCCTCATGACTGGGAACTCTGGGAAACCCGTGTGAGGCACAGAGACGAGGCACAGAGACCCGGAGCGCACCTCAGCCCCGGGCCGAGGAGGATGACCAGGAGATGGAGCCTGAGCTGAGGCTAGAAGGGCAGCAGACGAGGACAACGAGAAGTATGCCAGGCAAAGACACAGACACTCACCCTTCTAGGTGAATCTACCAATGGATCTGAGTGCCTCGTGCTCCATCAGCAACTCCAGAAATTTATTTAGAGGATTAAAAACAGAGAAAAAATAAAGGCAGAAAAAATGTTTCCCCAAACAAGGAAGCAGGAAGCCTGTTATACGGAGATGAGGGCTCAGGCTATCTATGATACTTAATGGCTACAGGTCCCAATATGCTCATAAAAGTTAATCTTTGGGGCCCACCTGGTGGCGAGCGGTTAAATTTGCTCACTCCGATTTGGTGGCCCAGGGTTCGCCGGTTCGATGGTTCCCAGGCACAGACCTGTGCACCACTTATCAAGCCATGCTGTGGCAGGCATCCCACATATAAAGTAGAGGAAGATGGGCACAGATGTTAGCTCAGGGCCAGTCTTCCTCAGCAAAAAGAGGAGGACTGGCGGTTGACGTTAGCTCAGGGCTAATCTTCCTCGGGTGGGGGGGGTGGTGGTGAGGAGGAGTTAATCTTTTACCAAAATGTAATTAGCAATGTATAGTTTACCATCATTTCCCAGTTGTTCCTGCACTTTCTCGAAGTCTGACCCGCCTACTACTCCGATTTTGATCTTCTGCCTCAATTTCTGTAGAAAGTCATCCATTTCTTTGGTAATTTTCTACATTTCAAAAAGGAAAATAAAAGTCATGAGCCAGAAAGTAATCAGGAGATGAAAATTGCAAGAGTGACACTACCCTTGCTTTCATACACGCCAATTCAGTTTCTAGGTCTGTAGACAAGTCCATATATTTTAGTTGTGATTTTGGGACATTGACCTTTTACTGGAAAAAACTTGCTGAATTTTACTTAGTTTAAAACATGCCAGTAACATATGAACAGCTGTTGTGTCTGTTCCAGGTATTTTTCTATGCATTTACACACTCAGTCTTTGTCCTGTGCAGTAACTTGCTTTTTCTGTACGAAGTTGTGGTGATCTTTCCAGGCCCAGACACACAGATCTAGCACATTCCTTTCAAATGCTACGCTGTACTCCATTTATAGATTTAACATAATGAGATTAAACAGCAAGTTCAGAACTGATTTCTTATAATTATACAAAACCAAAAAAAAAGTACAAAAATAAGATCACTAGATGTTTCAGCCTCTCCTAAAAGGCAAGCTCCTATCTATAAACAGGGGTCTCAAAGGTATAATTTTATGCCAGTTAAATTCCAAACTGTGTGCTAATTCAAAAGAAATTATAAACTAAGATGAAAAGATACCCCTGTATTAAGACAAATCACAATGAACTTTTAAGTCTTATTTTATTACTTTTAGCAATTTTAATTATACACTTAGATGGAGTAACTTTACAAATAAAGTTACCAGAAATTAAAACCAAAAAACTCACTTAACTTCAATAAATAAACATCTAGAGTTCAACCTTCTCTTTTTCTTAGAAACATTTTTTTTACAGTAATACATATACTTGTGATTAATTAAATAAAATTGGACAGAAAGGCTTATAAGAGAGTGCAATCTTTTCTACGTCTTCAAGCGGGATCTCGACCTAGTAGACAAAATCTGGAACTGCATGAGCGGCCTCTACGAGTCAGTGACTGTGAAAATGGGACCCAGAGTCCTCCAAGTGGTTGACTCAGACCTGACGTCAAAGTGGGAGGAAGTAGGGCAAACTCTTTTGATTGCAAAACATTAAAAATCCCATACTAACAATAACAACAACAAAAGCAATACCTCCAGCTTCAAACAGAAGCCTACGCGTAACATTAGCCCGTGTGCACACTGGTGAGCTAGATGGTACTGTGGGCAGCCATCAGACCTGTTCTGCAATGTGAATGGGTTACAGAACACAACTTGTCACTTCCAAGTGGCAGCAAATACTTTTGGACGGGAAATAAGACCCAGTTGCTTGTGAGCACAACAGAGCATCTGAACTATACCCCACTGCAGGAGAGAGCTTTACAAATAACCACATAGGGGCCGACCCAGTGGCACAGCGGTTAAGTTCGCACGTTCCACTTCTTGGCGGCCCAGGGTTCGCCGGTTCGGATCCTGGGTGCGGACATGGCACTGCTTGGCATGCCATGCTGTGGTAGGTGTCCCACATAGAAAGCAGAGGAAGATGGGCATGGATGTTAGCTCAGGGCCAGGCTTCCGCAGCAAAAAGAGGAGGACTGGCAGCAGTTAGCTCAGGGCTAATCTTCCTCAAAAAAAAAAAAATTAAATAAAAATAACCACATAGCAAAACTGTTGTGATTTCCCAAATATCTCTTGTGCTGATAATTACAAGGAATTCTTTATAAATCACCCAGACAAAATAAAACACAGAGAAAGACCCAAAGATTGAAATTAGTGTGACAAAATGTTAAAAATTCGCCTTCCAAAAAATATATATATATATAACAGGTTTTTTGGGGACGGTTAAGGAGAATTGACTGAAGCAGAGGACGAGTCAGCACTGTAGGGCCCGTGCACCAGGATCAGCCTCCTGCCTGTTTCCGTAAAGGACAACTGGAGCGCAGCCGCATCCACTCATTTATGAAGCGTCTGTGGCTACAACAACAGAGTTGCGCAGTTGTGACAGAGACCACATGGCCTATGAAGCCTCAACTATTTACTATCCGGCTTTTTTTCCTTTTTCTCCCCAAAGCCCCGCAGTACATAGTTACGTATTTTCAGTCGTGGGCCCTAGTTGTCGCATGTGGGATGCCAGCTCAGCATGGCTTGATGAGCGGTGCCATGTCCGCACCCAGGATTTGAACTGGCGAAACCCTGGGTGGCAGAAGCGGAGCACACAAACTCAACCACTCGGCCATGGGGCCGGTCCCTACTATCCCGTCTTTTACAGAAAAGAGTTTGCTGATCCCTGGACTAGGGTAGAGAATTAGAGAATTGATGATAATTTTCTAAGGTGTGATGACGACACTGTGATTACGATAGATGTCCTTGTCCTCAAGAGATGCAGGCTCAAATATTCAGGGGTGAAGTACTGTGATGACTGCAGCTTAGAAAGTGGTACAGCAAAGACCAAAAAAAAGAGAGAGAAAGTTAACACCAATCATTGCTGAATTTAAGTGGTGGGGATATGGCCGTACTGTTTTTCCAGTGATTCTGTATGTCTGAAATATTTCATGATAAAAAGTTGGGAAATCAGTCACCTGGAAGCCCCTCTTCTTTTTGCAGGCTTTTGTTCAAAGTCTCAATTGCTTTTAGATGGAATGGCGTTTCTTAGGAAAGTACTCAGCACAACAAAATTCTACTAACCCAGTGAAATGTGCGAAGATTTTAATTAGATTTTACCTGTTTAGGTCACATCCTGTTTCAGCAGCTGCAAGGAAAGAGAACTTACTCTCCTGCTTCTGGATTGTACTGTGCTTATCAATGTTGGAGAATGCATGTTTTGAGGAAGGGAAAGCTTGTATAATGAATAGATCTGTTGCTAAAATATTTTCATTTTTTATCTAGAGCACCCAGCACACAGAAACAATCCTCTTTTTAACTACAGATTTTTTAGCGTAAAAATTATTTATGTTCAGTGCAAAGAATACTGTTTCAAGTGTTTTAAGGGAATAATGGGGTTTAATGGGTTGCCTGGTTTCTTTACTAGTTCATACTTGATGCTTATATACCCGGATTCCTTCTGGGAATCAGAAGCACTTTCCTGAATGGCATACTCAGCAACCAGAACAGCTCCCACCTTAGAAAAGTGGCAGAAAATGGCAAACTTAGCAAATAACAATGCCCGGAGGCCCAAGAGACTTGCACCAGATCTGCTGTGTGAAATCAATAAGATCATGCTTTCACTGAGTCTCAGTTGCCTTATGTTCAAACGGTAATAACAACCATCCTACCAGGGACGAAAGAGGGAGAAAGGCTGAGAGGGTCCAATGCTATCAGGTAAAAAGGCTTGGACTGTACACCCTAGACCATCACGGCCAACAGGCCAATACGAGCAGCCGTTTGTTTTGGTAATAAATAAATAAAATTAAATTTTACTGGAACACAGCCCCGCTGCGTCTACATGTGGTCTCCGGCTACTTTTGCATTAAAGTTGCACTAGTTACTACAGACCGCCCGGTCAGCAAAGACAAACGTATTTGCCATCTGGCTCTTTACAAATAATGAAGCGCTGACCTCGGCTGCGGACCTCGGCTCTAGACCGCTATGGGCTTTTAACAAGCCCCAAGTGTGTGTTGATCACCGAACCTCAGAGTCAGAAAGGACCTTTGGAAAACTTACAGTTGAGTATCATCACTAGATACATCAACCCTGTGGCTCAGAAAGGTGAGTGACACGTCCAGGGTCATGTACAGTGGATGTGGAATTCTGGAGCCCACTGCTGCCACCACCCAGCCAAAACTAGGAGGGGTGGGGATAGAACCTGAAGACAGTGGGGGCATTTGGGCCCAGTCTCAAGTTCGAATGGCTGGCATTCAGTGACCAACTTGTGCAAGGGGCAGGCCAGAGCGAGCTTGAACACAAACGTTGATCTTAACTGAAACCTATCTGTGCCCCTAGCAGCAAAATCTGGAAGTGGGAAGCACGATCCAGGAGTCCGAGGAAGGTCGGCAGGCAGCCTGTAACAACCTAGGTCTTCTCTGTCACCCTAGTCCACTGCGGGGACCGGAGAAGGGGGGTGGTGGCGGCGGATGACATTTATTTAATATCACTGAACACAGCCTACTGTATGCAAGATACTTTCATGAACTCATTCGACTACATTCGATCTTTGCAAACACCGTATGGAACACGTAATGTCCCCACTTAAAGCTGCAGATGCTGAGGCTCTGGAGTTAAGTGACTTGCTCAAGGTCACACAGCTGTCAAAAGGTAAAGCTGAGCCTCTACTGGGTCTGTCTGACTTGGAAACCTGTGTTTTCCATCTCAGGCTACAAGGCACAGCCCAGAGTTGACCCAAGCTTGCGGTGAGGGTCCAGAGCGGCACTTCCCAACCCAACACGAGCCTCTTGCTCTCAAGAGTTTTTCGGCCCCGTCCCATCTCTCCGAGCACCCTGAGGTCTCGAGGAGCCGCTGAGGGCTCCGTCTCATCCCTCCCGGACACCCAGAAGAGAGTCCAGCCCCGCCAGGGCAGGGAGGCGGTCCTCGGCAGCCCCTCGACGCCCACCCCGGGCGGCCGTGGGCCTCGCCTGAGAGCAGCAGTGGGCTCTGCACCGGCTGCCGCCAGCCCGCCGGGCGCCGCCTACCTGCCGCGGGGGCGTTAGGGTCCCGTCCACGTCGAAAAGGCACAGCGCTGGGCCGGGCGCCGCCATGTCCCTGGCTTTCTCGCACACCTGGCACGACTCGTTGGCACCCGGAACTCGACCCGGAACTTCCGGGTTCAGCCCCCGTCCGCAAGGCACGCCGGAAGGAGGAGCATCCGCTCTCATAATACCCGGGAAGAGTGTCAGCTAGTCTCTCTGGACCACACACCCCAGAATGCAACGCGCCGTTACGCCGGCCTACTATCGAGCATGCGCTCTTAGAGGTTCCGGGGGCAGGTGGGTTTCACTTCCGGCAGCAGGCAGCGGGGCCATGGTAAGAAGGCGAGTAACGGGTACTGAGGGAGGTGACGTGGTTTGGGGGTCAGGGCTGGGGCAGGCAGGCAGACGCCTGGGGTTCTGATTCGGAGACTCTGCGGGAGGGACCTCCGGCGTGGGTCGCGATTTGCAGTAGCCCAGCTTCGTCTGCGCTCAGCTCACGTGGGCCATCAACAGGGATAACTAAGTGTCACTGAGCGCTCACCGTGCAAGCCATCAAGTGCCCTTGAGGGCTTTAGAGCCATTATCTCAGTCGGTGCGTTCTGAGTCCTCGTTTTGAAAGATGGAGAAACTGAGGTGCAGAGAGGTGGAGTAACTTGCCCGAGGACCCAGAGCTAGTGACTGCAGGAGCCAGGATTGGAACCCAGATCTGGCCCCAAGGCATCTTTCACTGCACTTCTCAAGGTGTAGAACTGTGCAGCTCATAAAATCCTTGGGCTGCGGGTTGGCGCCTCCATCCCTGCCCCCTCTCCATGACTAGGCTAAGAACACAGTGTTCCCCTTCAGCACTCGAGGTGACGCGGTAACCTGGCAGACACTTGGAAGGATGTTAGACGGATCTCGCGGATTTGTTCTCCACTAGGACGTTGATTGTTCCGGGAGATGTTCGCACAGCCTTATGGGTCCAGCGCCGAGCCCAGAGTTGGCCCGCCCTGGGTACTTGTTCAATGAATGAAGGCTGTGCCTCCTTTCCTACACCTCCTTGAACCTCCTGGAGGAAAGAGGACCAGTTTGAGTCAGACCCTGTCCCACTCACTGGCTGTGTGTCTTTGGGTGAATGTCTTACCTTCTCTGGGCTTCTCAGTGGTAAAGTGGAAGTAGTGGTCCCTGTCTTGCGCATCTTGCGTGAAGACCCCACGAGGTAAGGCATCTGGCTTTACCTTTCTCTCTGTCTCTGGCAGTAATGGCGACCTCATAGGATGGGGGGGAGCCCCATGTAAGATGCTTTGCCAGCGTTGGTTGTGCGGTTAGCGTGGTTGAGTCCCCTCAGAGAGAAATGGTCTCCTGTCTCCCCTCCAGGCTGCCCTTCTCCGAGCTGTGCCGCGGATGCCAGGGCCGGCCGCCCGGGGAGGGCCTCTCTCCCGGCTGTGGTGCTGCCCTGGGCAGGATCCTAGGAGATGGCTGGGGAGCAGGCCACCCACCTCCCAGGAGAAACCGCCAGGCACAGAGACAGAGAAATTCCAGATGGTCTACCGATTTGATGCCATCAGAGCCTTCGGCTACTTGTCGCAGCTGAAGGTGGCGCAGACGGCCCTGACAGTGGTGGCCCTGCCGCCCGGCTTCTACTGGTACTCGCAGGGCCTCATGACCCTCGACTCCCTGTGCCTCGTGGGCGGGATCGCTGGCTTCGCCCTGGCCATGCTGTGCTGGATGAGCCACTTCTTCCGGAGGCTGGTGGGCATCCTGTACGTGAACGAGTCGGGCACCGTGCTGCGGGTGGCCCACCTGACCTTCTGGGGCTGGCGACAGGACACCTACTGCCCTGTGGCCGACGTGGTCCCCATAACGGAAACCCAGGACCGGCCCCAGGAGCTGTTCGTGCGTATCCAGCAGTACAGCGGGAAACACACCTTCTACCTCACCCTGCGCTACGGCCGCGTGCTCGACAGGGAGCGCTTCATGCGGGTGTTTGGGACATTGGATGCACTCAAGTGAGCCGCTGGGAGCCGGGCCTCTGGGTAGCCCTGGGCCACCTGGACCTCCACCGGGAAGGCGGAGGGTGTGGGTGAGGCCGAAGAAGGGGACGGGGCACTGGAGACTGCCAGGGCCCCCCGGGGACTTGTCTTTTGGGACGTGGAAACTCACAAGGCAGAAGCTAGTGACCGGGCTTAGGGAAGGGGCCTGTAGTGGGAATTCTTACTGCACTCGTGTGTGACATTCAGTCAGACGAGGCCCGGAAGTTTCTAGGAGCCAGGCCTTGGAGGAAGCTATGCCAACTCCGTGTCCTGGGGCAGGTTATTGAGTCTGTCTGAACCTTGGTTTTCAGATCTGTAAAATGGAAATCCTGCCTGTGTGTGGGATGGGTGTGAGAACAAACGAACGTCAGGTGTTAGTTCAGAGGTGACGGGGCGGTGGAAGGCGTCCAGCATTCAGTGGGGTTTCCTGAGCCCTGTGCTCTGCCCCTCATGGGCCCAGCAGCAGAAGGGACTGGGAGGAAGGCGAGAGCTGGGTCGTCACGTCCTGCCAGGATGGTAGCTGCACAGTGACTGGGGCAGGGACGTTGTCCGAGCGAGCACAGCCCCCTGCTGGGACTGCTGGCCGCCCAGAGGTCTAAGGGCCTGCATTTGCAGTGTGACAGAGTCAGGTGGACTATACGCCAGTGCATTATTTTATAAACTAAAGCCAGTTATCTGTGCTGCCCCCTATAAGTAGTAATATATGTTTATTATACAATTTGTAGCAGAGTAAGGAAGTATTATGACCTTTATAATTCTGCCACTGAAAAGTCAATAAATATTTTGTTCTGTAGCCTTTCAGTCTTTTTTTTAATTGTAGTATAATATAGGTAACTTAAATTTATCCTTTTCACCAATTTTAAGTGTCTAATTCAGTGGCATTAAGTACTTTCACATTATTGTGCAACCATCACCTCTGTCCATTTCCAGGACTTCTGTTCCCATTAGTTCTGTTCCCATTAAAAGTCTGTTCCCATTAAACTCCAACTCCTTATCCCCCCGCCCCCCAGCCCTTGGCACCCACGAATCTGCTTTCTGTCTCCACGGATTTGCCATTTCTGGACATTCGTAGAAATGGAGTCATACGCTCTGTGGCCTTTTGTGTCTGGCTTCTTTGACTTGGCGTAATGTTTTCAAGGGTCATCCACGCAGGAGCCGGCATCAGAACTTCATTGCTTTTTTATGGCTGAATAACATGTGTAGACCACCTTTTGTTTATCCGTTCATCTGTCGATGGGCATTTTAATGGTTTCCACCTTTTGGCTGTTGTGAATAATGTCGCCCTGAGCGTTGGTGTACAAATATCTGTTTGAGTGCCTGCTGTCAGTTCTTTTGGATACATACTGAGAAGTGGATTACTGGATCATATGGTAATTCTATGTTTAACTTTTTGAGGACCCCCCAAACTTTTCCATGGCGCCTATTTTATATTCCCAGCAGCAATGCACGAGAGTTCCGGTTTCTCCACATCTGTTCTTTTTTTCACAATAGCCATCCTAATGGGTGTGAAATGATATCCCATTGTACTTCTAGTCTTTTTTTAAAACATAGATGTTTTACTATGTCTGAAATTGTTTGGTTTTTTGCTTCATGTTATAACAAGACTATCTCAGTTAGAAACACTCATTAAAAATATTCAGTCTCAAGAGAAAAATGTAACTATGTGAGATGATGGATGTGAACTAAACATTTTGATAATCATTTTGCAATATATGCGTATATAAATCATTATGTTGTACACTTTAAACTAATACAATGTTATGTGTCAATTATATCTCAATAAAACTGGGAAAAAAATAATAGCATACCTTACATAGAGACAAAAATAAAAGGCCCAGATAATTTGATTTTTTTAATTTAAATACTTTTTATGAAAAAAACAATCAGGAATTGCAAAGTATCCCACTGAGTGGATGTAACTGGTTCTTTACTATTTAAGTCATTTCCATTTTTCATTGCTATAAAGAATGTGATAAGCATCAAATATGTGGGGAGAGATCCTCTGTGTAGACTGAAAATGGCATTTTGAGGAAAGTGACTTTTTCATAAGAGAAAACGGAAGAAGTGAGGTTTTCTTAGTTAATTGATTGCATTGCACAGATTCAAGTAAAGCATGTCATTCAAGACCGTTTGTTCCTGCCGATGTCCCCATCAGTCAGTCTCTCCGCCCAAACCCCTTGTGCCAGGTGCTGCTGGGGGCTGCAGACCCGTGGGTCACAGAAGAGGAGATTTCCGCCCCTGTGGGACGTCCAGTCCAGTCCACAGAGATGGTGACAAGGGCAGTGGAGGAGCAGGGTGGAATGCTGTCGGGCTCCTACAAAGGAGTGTAGGAGCAGGAGGGGGGGTGACTGGGGGAGGGGCATGAGCTGCCTTGGGAGGGGACATTTGAGCCGCGGGGTGTGAGGAGGCGGCCGACAGGAGCGCATTCTGGCCTTGGGGACAGCAAGAGTGAGGTTCTGCCCCACCAGAGCTGGGTGCACTTGCTAAGGCGAGGAGCCCGAATTTGATCCTAATCGCTGTGGGAAGCCGTTGAGTCTCAGAGGAAGGAGAGAGCAGTGAAAGAAGTTTGGGAGCTTTTAAGAAGAGGAAACAGCTCTTTTTTAAAAATGTTACTTTCAATCATATCATAATTTTTTTTAATTGAGGTTATGATAGTTTACAACCTTGTGAAATTTCAGTTGTACGTTATTATTAGTCAGTCATCTTATGGGTGCACCCCTTCACCCTTTGCGCCCACCTCCCACCCCCCTGCCCCCTGGTAACCACTAATCTGTTCTCTTTGTCCGTGAAAACAGCTCTTTTTAATTTGTATTCATTTTTAGTTAAAGATACAAATGAAAGGACATTGGCTTATGGCTTTGTTTCCTTCGTTCACTTCCCATCCCACGTTAATTCCTGCCAGTTGGAGACGGTGGTCTGGGGAGCCTGAGTGTGGGTGTGTCCCTCGTGTTTGGGGACATGCCCACTGTCGGTCGGGGCATAGCTGTGGTTTTCCTGCATAGAGGGCTCTCAGCATGCCGTGGTGCTCAGCGTGTGACCCGGAGCCTGGGCCTGGGGGGTCCTGGAGGGCCAAACCCATTAAGTGCTGGCTCTCCCTTTGGGGCAAATGGCATGTGGTTCCATTGACTTATGGTTTGATGCTGACTCTACTTTAAAACGATGACCAGGACCTGACCACTTCTCACCCGCCCACCGCTGCCATTCTGATCCAAGCCAGCCTGTATCTCCTCCGGATCATTGCAACCTGCTGCTCCCATCCTTGTCCTACAGAGGCTGTCCTCACAGTGGCCGAAGTGAGCCTAAAAATAAGCATCGTGTCACTGCCGTAAGAGCTGAAGTCCTTAGGATGGCCTACAAGGCCCAGTGTGGTCTGGCCCCACCCCTGCCCCCAACTGTCTGCCCTTCACAACTCTGCCCTGAGGCTTCAGTTAGTCCTCTTGACCTTGTGCTTCCTCCAATAATCAAGGACACTGAGCCTCAGGGCCTTTGCACGGCCAGTTCCCTCTGCCTGGAAGCCTTTCTCCCTGGATATCTGCATACAGGCCTGCATCTCTCTCTCCCTCTCTCTCCCTTTCTCTCTCTGTCTCTCTCTCTCTCATTTTCTCTCTCTTTTGCATTTCTTCCTCTGTGTACCTGGGCTGTTACTGTTTGTGCTCATGCAGTTGTAGTGAAGATTCGGTTGTACAGAAGAGTCCGTTATATGAGAGTTATGGAGAGCTGGTGGTTCCCTTCTCTACCCTTCCCTCACCCGCTTGTCAGTTCCTCCAGTGACTGCCAACCCCTTTGCCCAAAGGCATACAGTTTGTGCCTGTAAGATGTCTTAAGAGGTACTAATGATTTGACCTTGACCTAGTGAAAGACAAAAAGTAACTCAAATAGCCCCTGGTGTTGGGCGGGTGGTAAGCAATGGATTCGTGACCCTATAAAAAGAGCAGGAGACTCTGTGTGCACGCACCAAGGAAGGCCGTGTGAGGACAAGACCAGGAAGAGGTCCTCACCAGGAACCGGGCCGTGGACTTCCAGCCCGCAGAGCTGTGAGGGAGCAGTGTTTGCTGTTTACGCCCCCGAGTCTGTGGGCTGTGGTCGCAGCCCGAGCTGACTGAGCCGGTGGTCCTCCAGACCAAGGCGAGGCCGGCCCTAACGGGGACGTTCACGGTGCGCAGCGTTGGGAGCCATTGTCCTTCCTCCAACAGTTACCAACAATGAGACTTGCCCTGTCATGGGGCTGGATGTCCCACGCCCAGCCCAGCATTAAACCATGTTTAGTGACCCTCCAGAACAGATCTGGCAGGCTTAGCTGCTCGGTGAGGGGCCAGCCTGGGGTGAATTGCCTAAATGCCCAGGGCTGGGAGGGCTCCTCTTGCTGCTTTATGACTTTGGGACTTGTGAGGCCCCAAATGGAAAGCAGCAGGTCGCCTTGAGCCCCAGGCAGGGTCCCCCTGTATGGCCCGGCTTTGTTCCCGCAGCGTCCAACTGCACGATCACGCCCGAGGGCAGTTCGGCAGCGGGGCCCATGCCATCTGGCCGCGTGTGTACGACGCTGGGGACAAAACACCTGCTTTACTGAGCAACGGTTGAGATGCACTCCGGGAGCCGGTGGGGCTTGTTCCTGTGTTGGGAAGCAGATTTGATATTGATGAGTGGAACTGAACTCTGACCGAAATACAGTATTTTTCCTTAGAGTGACATGGGAGACACACTCGGCTGTTCACGGAGGGGAAGCAGTGAAAGGAACTACCGGGTTTCCGCACCTCCCTGTGCCGGGCGATTATTTCGTGGTGTGATTTCATGCTCCCAGCAGCTGTTTGGGGTAGAGAACTAGTAGGAGGCATGGATGTGGGGGAAGCACATGGCTTTGGAAGCAAGCCTTCTTGCCTGCTCAAATCCCAGCCCTGCTGCCTCCTAGCTGTGACCTTGGGCCAGGTACATAGTCTGCGTGCCTTGGGTCGACTGTGGAGCGACAATAATAAAAGCACCCACCTCGGGTGGTTGGGAGGACTGACCGATGGCAGGAAAAGCACTTACACCAGCGCGTGGTCCAGGGAAGCACTGGGTAAGCGTCGGCCGGCGTTTCTGTTCTCAACCTCGTTTTGCAGAGGCGGCTCAGAGAGCAGAAGTGACTTGCTCAAGCTCACCCAGCTAGAAAGCAGCAGAGGCGGGTCATTCTGCCGCCTCATCCGGCCTCCGCAGGGGGTATGAAGGATGGCAAATAGACAACAGTGACTGTTTTTAACAGAGTTACTTGACCTTGAGGCTCTAGCACCTTCCACCCACCCGCCTTAGGAATGTTCACACTAACGCTGACCAGTGCAAGTCGACCTTCCAAGGCTGCTAGCCAGGCTGGTGTGAGAAAGGTCTTTGAGTGATTGACAGTTCTTGTGGTCAACCAATCCCAAGCCGACGTGTGTGCACGCACACAAACACATTTGTTTAGACACTAATATGTCATCTTTCATACATCTGTGTGTATTCTGGCTTCCAAGTTGTGTGATTTTTGGACAGGTTCCCCTAACCTCTCTGAGCATCAGTTTCCTCATGTTAAAAATAGGCATCCAGGGGCTGGCCCAGTGGCGTAGTGGTTAAGTTCACACACTCTACTTTGGTGGCCCGGGGTTAAAGGTTTTTATCCTGGGTGTGGACCTACACACAGCTCATCAAGCCATGATGTCGTGGCATCCCACATACAAAATAGAGGAAGGTTGGCACAGATGTTAGCTCAGGGCCAATCTTCCTCACCAAAAAAAAAAATTTAAAAATAGGCATACAAATACATAGCTCATAGGTTTGCGGCAAAAATTATGATGTGCCTGCAGAATATGCTTGCACATAACAGATGCTCAACAAATAATGGTTATTATCACCTTATGTGTTTATTTAAAAAAATACATTTAATGGTAGATGCTGCCTTCCGAGTCAACTGTATCATAGAAATGTTGGATGTTCGAGCTGGACGGAACCTTGGAAATGACGTGGTCCAAACCATACATTTTACAGATGAGACAAAGAAGGGCCACAGAGGGCACTGAGACAGCTGGGAGCAGAAGCGAGACAGGAGCCCACGGTCCCCAGTTCCAGGTCAGGACATCAGGACCACTAAAGAGCCAACTCACGTCCACAGGTGCTCCCTCAGCATCTCCTCTGTGCCTTCCCACAGTGCTTCTGCCCCGCAGCCATTCCAGTCAGTCATCAACTTCCCACCTCAGTCTGTGACTGAGAGAATCTGATTGGCTTGGGGTGGGGCCCAAGCGTAAGGATTTTTTAAAAAGCTCTTTAGGGCGACTCTGAAGTGTTGAAAGTCCTGTCCTGTAGGTTTGGATTCTGTGCTTTTCTTTCCCTCTCCATCCATCCCATTATTCTAGTCAGGCCACCGGGTCATCTTGACTGTAAGATTCCTGGCCGGTCTCCCTGCCTCCCTGTCCTTCACAGTGGGCACTCAGGACAATCTTTCCAAAATGCAGGTGGGATTACCCCCTGCTCCAAGCCTTTGGCGGCTCCACCACTGCATGAAGGCCCTCGGATCCGAGCCCTGCCTGTTTCTCTGGCCTGGTCTCCCTCTCTGGGATCTAGCAATGCTGAACATGCTAGAAAGGCCCACCTCGCCCTGCCTTTGCACTTTCAGTGAGCTATCCTCTCGGGCTGGAATGCCTTCCATCCCACCTCTGGGTCAGTGGAGCTGCTCCCGCTCAACCTTGAAGATCAAACTCAGGGCCTGACTTCCACCCCACCTGGGGCCCATCCTTTGCACAAGTACAGCATCCAAGGTCTTCCTGTATCCTGGTCCTTACCCTGGGTTGCTGTGACCTTTGCCCCACTATAAGGTGAGCCAAGGGTAAGCACCACACCTTGTCCATCTCTATCACGTGGTATGTCCTTGACGAACTCACAGTGTGAGTGGCCTCACAGTGCTTCCTGAGCCCAAGGCAGACTTATGCAGGTAGAGCATTCCCCTAAGACATCCCTAAGAGGTATACAATAGGTGCTTCATAAGTGCTTGTCAAATAATTACTTAACAAAACCACTTCCAACCAAAAAGGCCACATTCACTCCAATGTTTCCATTATAAATGTTTTTTTTTTAATTCAAGAATACTGATTAACACAGGAAACATTTAATTCATGGAACTGTGCATATGGTCATCAGTTACATTGTGACATGTTAATCTCTTTATCATTTATTGGCACTGTCAACAGAATACTGTAAACAAGATCACTTCATCTGCGTAAGTGGGCGATGCTCCTAGCGATGGTTTTCTACCATGAGCTGATATAGATAGATAGATAGATAGGTATAGGTATATCGATACATTAATGTTGTGCACAATTTTGCATGGTTACTGAGTGTCAGTAAAAATTATTAAAAAAACACCCATTTATAATAAAATTGAGGATGTGCTGAGACTCGCTAGTACTGGACCTTATTTTCTGTAAAAGTGACAAGGCTTACTAGGGACGTTGACTAAACTCTATGGCGCTAATGTGTGATGGACTGACTTCCAGACCGTGGGCCACACAGCTTCTTCATGGTCTCTGCCCTAGACAGCGACCCGTCCGCTGGGCTCCCTATGTTTTCATCAGCCTCCTCCAAGCTTCTATGATCTTGAGCTCTGCCGAGAATTTTCTCCTTGAAATTCTTCCAGCTATACCCCACCCCCAGAAAGAGGATGTCTCAGGAACTCATGATGCCCTGAGTCAACAAGAACTTGTGGATAAATGGCTTAAGTTTTCTGAGAAGTAACTTCCCTTGGCAAGGAGTGAAGAAGTCTGGAAATGACTTTCCAGACAAAATGATTGCATTTTTCTGCCAGTGCCCCGTGGGGAGAGAACAAAATTTTGGAGCCACTCTCTCCACTGAAGGGAGCCAAGTTTCTGGTTGTGCCCCGGCTTAAAAACCTTCTAGACTCCAGGAACCTTATTGAATGTTTGCACCCAGCGCTGAAGTTCTCAGGAGAAAGCGTCCTTACGCCAATAAATGAGTTATGGTTTGGTTTGCATTTTGGCTGTTTGTTAAATAAGGCCTTGGATGTTGGGATATTGCCTGTGGAATCTGGATCCCCAGGGAAAGGTGTGAGACCAGGAACTGATGTGTCTTGGCACATACTGTTCCCTTTCTGCCACTCTTCCTTGCCTTGTCTGCTTGGTGAACTCTTGCTCATACTGCAAAACCCTGCTTAGACATCAATTTCTCCTTGAGAGCTCCTCTGACCCTTTGGTGGATTGGGGTGCTCCCTCGGGTTTCCTGATGTTCCTACACATTATCTCTATCACAGCACCTGCCACTCTGCTTTAAGAGCCTGTTGTCCCCAGTGGGATGTGAGTCCCTGGAGAGCAGGGACGGTGTTCCATTTCACCTTTGTATTCCTGGTGCTTAGCACTGGGTCTGGGACACAGCAGGTACCTCATGGAAGTTTCATGAATGAATGATTGAATAAATAAATGAATATATGAATGAGTAAAACCTTGCAGGGAGAGAGAGTCCCACAGCACCGTGCAGCCGGTCACACAAACGGCCTTGAGCACGGCAGAGTGCCTTCTTAAAGCAACCGTGAGCCCGGGCTGCGAGAATGCAGAGTGAACTGAATTCACGGATCTGCCCGCGTCTCTCCAACCCGTCAGTGCCTTTCGTTCCCAACAAAAATAGGTGGATGACCAAGTCTGCTGAAGGGTGGAAGCAGGAAAAAAAACCACTTTGAGATCTTTGGATGATGAATTATTAAAAGCGCAAAGTACTCATCGAGAGCCTCGACACGCCCGTCTCCCCCAGCAGTCCACCAAGGCACCAGGAGACGGGGCGGCTTCCTTCTGGACAGAGAATACAAGCCAGACTTTCTGCCTCCACCCACTAATCAACACTTCATCGCTGTAGGACTAACAGTGCCCCTTTGGGGAACATTTGAGGTCAAGTCAGTTCCAAGAATGCCTTGCCTCCAGCACCGATCCTTCGTCCCAGCCAGAGTCCAATTAAGCCTTGAGCCTGTGCTCTCCATCCTCACTCGCGTCAGAAAATCTCTGCCTTGGAGTGGCCAGGACAAGAAAAGCATCTCGAACCACCAGGCTGTTTCTTCCCTCTGGTGCCTGTAATTCACGACGCTTCCCTCCAGAAGAAACCTCGTTCGGCAGTTAACGGCCTCTGGTGGAACAGCAGAGCTGTTCCCGCATCTGCTCACAAGTGGACAAAGGCGGATGAGCAAGGATGAGAGAAAGAGCCTGCGGGATGCAGGGTCCGTGAGTCAGACCCCGGAACGGAACTGCGGGAGGGGGAGGAAGGGGCCCCCGAAGCCCCAGCCCCTGGGCTCCTGCCCCCTCCCATTCCCCACCCCCCCAACTGCTGGGAGACTGGCTTGTGCTTCTGATCCTTCAGCTCCCGTGTGTCCCCGCGGACGCTCAGGCTGCGCCTTCCTTCCAGAGGTCTAGGCTGACATTTAACAGGAGGGAAAGAGTCTGGGGAATGGGGACGGTGAGTAAGAACCGTGGGTGACGCCGCAGGTGGTTCTCCCAGGGCAGAGCCCCGTCAAGGACAGGATTCACAGTTTAGAGAAATCCCCAGATGCACTGAGAGGCGTGGCCCAAGTCCCAAGGAGGCCAGAAGACCCCCTCCCACACCCCCGGGTCATCCTGATGTCCTGCTGTCCTGCCTTCCTGTGCTCTGTCCTGTCCCTCCCTGAACCGACCATGGGACGTGCTCAGGGCTCCAGGGGCTGGTGAGGGGTGAGAGCGTGTTTGCTGCAGAGGGCGAGGGGAGCCAGCACCCCCGATCACAGACTACTACACTGAAAGGGATGGAACCCACAAGTCCCAGCCACCAGTTCCAGAGCAGGTGTCATTCCCTTGACTGGCTTCCAAAGAAATTGTCAGGGTCAAAGTGGACAGATACACGGCCAGGACCCGCGTGGGCCGTCCTGAGACTACGTCCAGGGCTCAAGCAGAATTTCTGGGCTTCGACCACTGTGCCGCACCGGCTCTGCAGGAGGAAAACCCAAGCCAGCCCCTCGGCCCCTCCCCTCCCGCCGAGCCCCCAAACCGTCCCCTCCCCACCAATAACCCTCTGGTTTATGCATTCGCCTCTGATACTTTAAGTGAAAACATGAATTAGGCAAACTAATCAATTTGACAACTGTTGAATCAGGGCTTTCTCGAGCGCAGGGGGAACGGCTTCTTTACTTGAAGTCGGCTAAGATGTCGCTGAAAATATTGAGGAACAGGTGCGCGTGGTGGTCCCTGAAGACCAGAGTGGGTCGGAAGCGAATGGATCTGTCGCCACAGCCCCCCAGCACCACGCCTGGAAGGGAAGGAGGGAGGGCGGTCAGGGGTGGGGCTCACACATCACGCACGGTGAGGGCCGGCTGCCCTCATCAGAACGTCCACATCACTCCTCCCATCCAGGCACCCGCCCTCCATCCACCTCACCCATCCTGCTCCCCCCTCCCTCCCTCCTTCCAACTTTGCACGCCTGCTCCCAGGCCCCTGCACTGGGTCTGTCAGAGAGAAACCCTGAGAGAAAGGCCTTGCCTTTCAGAGACTCGTGATGTGGTGGGGAAAGGAAATAAGTCCACGTTCTGTAAGATAGACATTGTGCTCGACACACAGGCGGTGCCCAGATCTACCCCACTTAAAACCCACCCATGGCTTCCCATAGCTCTCAGGGAAAAGTCCAGAACCTTGAAGCTGATCCACAGGGCGATGCGAGGTGGGCCTGGCCGCCCCTCCCCTGCACCAGCCCCTCCAGCCTGTCACATTCCATCCTTCCGCTCTCTTCACCTCCGTCAGCTCCATCCTGCCTCAGCTAATTGTGCATGTGCCTCCCTCTGCCCGAAATGCCCTTCCTCTCCTTCTTCACTTGGCCACCCTGTTCATCTGTCAAGACTTACGGTAACGTGCCACCTCCTCCAGGAAGCCTTCCCTGATTTCCTGGTCTCGACACTTTTCCCAGCTTTCCATGCCTTAGCCCCTTTTCCTCCTTCCTAGGGTTCATAATCGCAACCGTCATGTATAAAATAGTCCCTTTAATGTCGCCCTTCCTGCTAGACTGTAAGCTCCTTGAAGGAAGGGCCCCAAGGGCCATGTTCATCATTGGGCCCCTCTCCAGGGTTGGCCCACTCACCTCCTCCGTGAATCTCTCTCGAATGAGTAAATGTATAAAGAAGGCCCGCTGGTTACTTTCTCTTCTTTCAAGAGAGCACATTCAGGGTATTTTCAGTCCCGTGTACCACCTGTTCCCCCCCGCCCTGTCCCCCCAGGTAACGTGGGACACCAAGGACGCTCAGCTTCCCCTCTTGGCTGCCTTACCTTTGTTTCTGGCTATTAAAATGAGTTTATTCCGTACGGATTCGTCTGGAGTGTCGAAGGAGCAGAAGGTGCCTCGTCCCCTCACTCTGCTGATGAACTGGGGGTACCGGGCCTGCAGTGGGGGAGACAAGGCCGCGTCAAAGCCCGTCACCTGTGTAGCAGCCGGCTCAGTGGCTGTGGTTGCTCGAGCGCCCCCGCCCCTGGTCCAGCCTTTGGGCCTCTGTGTGGACTGGCAGGACCAGCGTGGGGTTCAGAGCTGTGGCTCTGGAAACCTCCAGTCCTGGGTTCAAAACCCGGCTCTGCCTCTTTCTCACAGCACAACCTTGAGCAAGTCACTTAAGGGGCCTGTGCCTCAGTTTCCTCTTTTGGAAACTGAGGGACGTAAATGCTATTGACCCCAGTGGGCTGTGGTGAGAACGTGGTGAGACGAGGTGTCTACGTCAAGCCCTAAGCCCAGGGCCTGGCGCTCGGCAGGTGCTGGACAGATGTCAGCCATGTCCATTAGCAGCACTTCTTCTAGAAAGGTGGTGGCTCTTCCAGGAGAAAAAGAGCTCGTCCTCACTCAAGGCTTGGGGTCTGGAGTTGTACTGGGTTCACGGGTATCCCCCTCCCCAAACGCATGTCCACCTGGAAACTGTGAGCGTGACCTTATTTGGAAATAGGGTCTTTGCTGATGTTATCAGTTCGGTTCAGATGAGGTCATGCGGCATTAGGGCGGGCCCTAAATCTAACACTGGCGCCCTTATAGGAAGAGGGAAATCTGACGCAGAGACACGTGCGCAGAGGGAGGAGGCCAAGTGAAGGCGGAGGCAGAGGTCAACAAGCCAAAGAATGCTGAGGACGGCGGCAGCCACGAGCAGCCGGGAGAGGGGCTGGGAGGGACTCTCCCTCAGAGCCTCGGACAGAGCTGAGGCTCCCGGTGTCTTGATTTCGGACGTCTGGCTTCCAGGACGCCAAGAGAATCAGTTCTCGTTGCTTTAAGCCACCCAGGTTGGATGACCGGTGAGAGCAGCCCCAGGAAGCTAACATGGTCACTCAGAGCAGAGGCTCTTGGTCCCTCCCGACTGTCCGCTGTCCACAAACGAGGGCCTGGATAACCCCGAACAGCTTCGGGGTGCAGGGGTGGAGACGGGAGCAAGTGTCCTGGCATCACGGCCCCTCGGGAGAAGCTTGGGATGAAGCCATCTTCTGGGGATCGTAAAGGCCCCAAGTGCATGCCGGGCCCTGCACCAGGCTCTGCCACGCAGGATCCTGAGTCCTCACCCCACCAGGGAAGGGGACCCATTTTGGTCTCCACGGGTGGGGCAACTGAGGCTCAGAAGTCACTCCAGCCCTCACTCTACTCCTCCCTTGCACGTGCTGACCAGCTGGGAGCCAGCAATTTGCACACACTCCTCTCTCCCTCCAGAGCGGGTCTGGGGAGGCTGGGAACAAGGTCTCAAACCTTCAGACACCCCTTGGGGCCCCTGTGCCACACACACACACACACACACACACACACACACACACACAATGTCAGGCTAAGGAACTGTTCACTTGGTGAATCAAGGCAGGACGTGGGGCTCCCTGCCCCCTCCTCCCTGCAGGCCTCCAGGCCTGCGCATCCACAGCCTCCCTTTTCTCTCGCCCTTCTGTCTGCTCATTGTTTGAGGGCATTTCTGTAATCCTGCCTCCTGGCCTATAGCTTTTTAAGGCCCTGGTGGAGACCCCAGCCCCTCCCATCCCTTTAAATGAGCCAGCTTGGGGCTCCCAAAGCAAGATGTCAGTCTCTGGGACGTTTCCATGGAACCCTGTTTGTGGTCCCATCCTGTGCATGGAACTCACTCCGGGAAACACTGTCCTCCACACCCCTTCTCAGGGCCGGGGCCTCAGTCGGGGCCCTGCAAGCTGCACGTCCTCCAGGAGCTGCCCTCACGACTGAGGATGGGCGGCAGCAACTGGGACACTTACGAGACCTACAGAGAAAACATCGCTGGCCTTCCTTGGGGCTGGGCCTCACTTCTCTGGGGGGGTCTGACTTCACTCATGGGGTGGGAACCCCGTTTCTGCTCTCTGTTCCTGAGCCACACTGCCAACTTGCAATGTGACCATGACTCACCCATCAAGCGACACCTCATGCCGTCCGAACCTCTTTGCTTCTCTATCTCCCCAGCCCGCCTTCTCTGTGTCCCGCCCAAGCCCCTTGCCAGGCCGTGAACTCTGCCTGTCACTTCTCATCCCAGGAGCCTGGCGTGATGCCCAGCTCACGAGGAAGGCCACCCTGGGTCCGCGTGGACCTTGTGGGAAGGCCTCTCAGCTCAGGACAGGGAGCAGCCCGCATTCACGACAGCCCAAGAAGAACCAGAACCCACAGTCAGCACAGGCCATCACCGCGAGTGGGCTGGACGTCCCCGAGGGAAATCAACGCGGTCTGTCACTTCTCCTGTTGGCCTGGCTGGTGGACAGTGAAGGAGGGGCCCGAGCCTGACCTTTCACATGAATTTCAGATAAATGACTTATAATTTTTTAGCCTAAGGATGTCCCAAATGTTTCACGGGATATTCCTATGCTAAAAAAAGTAGTTGCTGTTTTTCATAGTTAACTGGACATCCTGGATTTTAACGGCTAAATCTGGCATCCCTACCTGGGGGAGGGGAGCGGGTGGTCCCTGGAGCTCCTGACGGCCCTGTGTCTGGAACCAAGTCCTGAGCTTGTCCCCCCTGGGCCTCAGACTTCTGAAATTTAAATGTAACTGAGAGTCTTGCTTCTTTTTTACCCCCTAAATGTAGTAACCCTATTCTGAAGGTTAAGGGAGATAAGGCACTAAACACAATGCTTGGCACGTAGCAAGTTCTCAATTCATGGAAATTATTATTATTGTTGTTAGTATTATAAGGTTCTTGATCATGTCAGAGAGGTAAACATTGGCAAAGAACACGGACTCTGAAGTCCACCAGAATCGGGTTCAAACCCCAGCAGTGCCACGTGGAAGCTGTGCAACTTTGCACAACTTAATGGCCCCTCCACACCTCTGTTTCCTGATCTGTAAAATAGGCATATAATGGTGCCTACACCCACAGCACTACTCTTGGACTTGAATGAGAGAGTGGATGAGAGCCCCTGTTACAGGACTTGGCATGTAGAGGGCTCTCAATAAATGGAAGCTGTTCTTATTATCGTCCCTCAGCCCTTCATCACCACCACCACCATCATCATCACCACAACTATCACCATCATCATCATCACTACCATCACCATAATTATTATCACCATCATCAGCATCATCACCACCACCATCATCAGCCTCATCAGCAGCATCATCACCACCATCACCACCATCAGCATCAGCATCATCACCATCACCACCATCAGCATCACCACCATCACCACCATCAGCATCAGCATCATCACCACCATCACCACCATCACCACCAGCATCAGCAGCACCATCACCACCATCATCACCAGCATCATCACCACAATCAGCATCATCACCATCACCACCACCACCATCAGCATCATCACCACCATCAGCATTAGCATCATCACCACCACCACCACCATCAGCAGCATCATCACCACCATCAGCACCATCAGCACCATCAGCAGCATCATCACCACCATCACCATCATCACCACCATCAGCACCATCAGCATCACCACCAACATCATCAGCATCATCACCACCATCACCACCATCAGCAGCATCATCACCACCATCACCACCATCAGCATCATCACCATCACCACCACCACCATCACTCCTTGGCGGTTCTGCTCAGGTCATGGGTGACTGGATGCTTCAAGATCCTGGGGCAGGGGCTCTTTGTGACCAGCCACCTAGAGTAGATCACCCCCCTCCCCACTCCTGGGCTGGCCTGGCCAGTCCTGGAAACACTGTGGTTCTGCCAGCAGCGCCCCTTCCCCCCAAATCTGGGAGAGTAACGTTTGTGTGTATACGGGGGCTGTCAGGCAGGGAGTATGCCATAACAAGGACAAACAATTATTATAATAGAGAGCTGCACTGTCCAGTGGCCGTGGCCACATGTGACAAGTCCAAATCGAGATGTGCTGTAAGTGTGAAAGGCACACCGGATTTTGAAGACTTAGTCTAAGAGAGAGACTATGAAATGTCACCTTAATTCCTTTCTGTATTGATGGCATGTTGACATAATAATAATTTGGATATAATGGGTTAAGTAATCTGCATTATTAAAACAAATTCCACCTCCTTTTTTACTTCTAATGTGTTTTCTAGCACAGTTAAGACCACATATGTGGCTCGTAATACGCCCCATGGGACAGTGCTGCTGCAGAGCGATAAGCATGTAGAAGTCGGTACAGAGGAGGGAGCAGCTGACACGACAGTGGGGATGACAGAGGGGGAGGGTCTGGGAAGCTTCTCAAAGGAGCGATGTCTGGCCTTGGTGTCAAAGGAAAGCCAGGTGTTTAGGAGCTGGGACTGTGATGGATGGAGGGTGGGAAGACATCCCCTACAGAAACGGCACAGCTCATTCAGAACTGCCAGGACGGAGCACAGATGTGGCCCTGGGCCGCAGGAGCCAGGGATGGGCATCCTGGGAGAGCAGGGCAGAGCCAGGCAAGCGGGTACCTGGAGGTCCAGCAGCCCCGTGAGCAGGGCCTTCCCCGCATGGGCTGCGTTGCTCAGCAGGTCCTCCCGCTTGATGACGTTGATGACCTCGGCCAGCAGCAGGTTCTTGGACGGGTCCCCCAGCCAGGTGTTAAAGATCCGGTAAGGCTGGAACGAGGCACGGGTGTCGGAAAGGTTCACACACAGGCACATCCCGCGGGGGCCCACTTCCCAAACACACCTCGTCCCCCTTTATGAGGAGAGAACCCAGCAAACACGTAGGAAGGGGCGGGGACGAGAACATGTCATCACGTCTCATTGCGTTCTTTCCATCGCAACAGCCCCACAGGTAGGCACCATCATTAGGGAGACTTGCTCACCCCGGGCCCCCAGGAAACCCCTCATTCCTGGGGAAACCAAGACCGCCGGCCCTTAGCCACTGTCACCCTCATTTCACAGACGAGGAAGCTGAGGTTCTGGGGGTTAGGTGATTTCTCCAGGAGAAATACAGCCCATAGGAAGTGGTGTCGAGAGGGGATGGATGGCAGTCTGACCCTCAGAGACCACCCGCTTTATTCCTCCATGAATTACTCGGGGTATCAATGCAGCCAACCAAAAACACCTCCCAGCCTCCTTTGCAGTTAGGAGTGGCCACATGACCAGATCTTAGTCGAGGGGGCCACTTTGTGCTTCCTTCCTGCCTACTGCCTGGAATTGAGATGTGATGGGTGAGCTCCAGGAGTCATTTTGGACCAAGAGGTGAACGTGAGGGTGGAAACAACACACAGGAGTGGTGGAAGGAAGGGTTCTGAGCCTCTGATGGATGAGTGTGTATGTGTGCGTGTGTGTGTGTGTCTGTGTCTGAAAGAGAATCTGTAGGTGCACATGGCAGTACAGCGTAGTGGTTAAAGAGCATGGGCTTGAATTCTGGTTTTGTCACTTAACAGGCTGTGTGACTTTGTACAACTTCCTTAAGCTCTCTGTGCCCGATTCCTCATTAGTAAAATAGGAGATAAAAATAATACCTACTTGGTTAGATTGTTGTAAGGATGAAAAGTATGCGAGGCGTATTTAGAACTGGGCCAGGCACAAAGCTATTAACAGTATCATTGTGCGCACAGAGGAAAATCAGAAGAGAATGGACTGCTAGGAAGTCGGCCCTGCAGAGAAAGCTGGGGGCGATCATAACCATTGGATAGTTAAATTGATAAGAACTTAGAAAACCTCTGTGACCCGTTCGGTGTCCACTCAGCTCCTGGTTTGTGAGAAAGTGACGCCCCTTCGACCCCTCCCTGGAAAGGAGAGGGGGCGGGGTGCGCGCTCACAGCGTTGGGCCTGAACTCCTCCTTGTGGAAGAAGCCGCCGGTCATCATCTTCTTGCTGAAGGTCATCACGTCTGCAGGGTCATCCAAGCCCCAGTGCTCGTGGGCCCAGAACTTGCCGGTGCAGCCGCCGCCCGTCTGGACCTCGTCCACCAAGAAGGCACAGCCGTGCTGGAGAGAGAGAGCAGCCACCGCGGTCGGCCACCCACGGATGCCTGACTCCAGCCAGGGTCCCTGCTTCCTGACCTGCAGACCCAGCCCGCGTCCGGGGGCCGTGCGGACCCAGACCAAACGCTCCAGCAGGGCAGGTCCAGCAGAGCCGGATCTGGACATTTCCTCAAACTGCTGAGCTGGCGCGAGACGGAACGTCAGATGCCCACCCCCGAAAGAAAGCACAGCAATGTCGCATCTGGCTTCCATGCCTGAGCCAGACGACTCACTCAGTACCCCAGCAGCGGGGCCCAGGCCTGGTCCCCAAACCTCCGCTGCCCCGTTTGCTGGATGTACACATCACCAGCTGATTCTTTACTCAGCGTCTGTGTGGAAATCACCTCTACAGAAAGGTCTGCAGCCTTTCTCTGCGAGCTCACCAGTGGGACATGCCGCTTACGTACGCAAACACGTGAAAACAAACACGATATTAACATAAATCTGTTCACTTGGCATCTGCTGAGTGTGCACCACGCTGTGCTGAAAGATGAGGCTGCGTCTCCAGAAAGCACAGGGAGGAGGCGGAGGCCTTCCCAGGAATCTCCCGATTGGGAAGGTCCCCGACTAAGATGGCCAGTTGGAGGCCATCAATAGTGAGTCTGCAATAAGATTTTAGGGAGGAATTCCTTATCCTGCCCCCGACAGCGACTTCCCTGTCTGGGAGGCCTCACGGGCAACCTCTGAACATCCAGGATTTTACAAGAACCCCGAAGCTAACCCTGTGCTCCGGGAAACCAACCGGAAACAGCCCGTGGCCTGTCCAACCCCACCCGGCACACTGACCTTCCTGGAGATGTCTCTCAGCTTCCGGAAGAAGTCGTCGGTCGCGTGGTTGTCCCCACCCTCAGACTGGATGGGCTCCACGATGATCCCGGCCACCGTCTTCTTCTTTTTCCGATATTTCACGATCAGATCCTCCACCTGGATTCCAAAGAGGAAGGTGACAAGGGCTGGCAGAGGCTCTTGAGAGGCACCTGCGGGCGGACAGGTTCCAGGGGCTCCATGACCCCTGGAAGTTATGCGGAAGATGTGTGCGTGTGCACTTCCGGTGCAGACAGTGGATCCATTGGGAGCCACACGTGCGGATGGGAACATGTCCTACTTGGGACTGGTGCACCTGCGGGCGTACACACTGATAACTTGGGGCAAGTCATTTAACCTTCTAAAGCCTCGCTTTCCTGATCTGTAGGATGGGCGCACTGAGAACTCTACCCACCGGGGTCGTGGAGAGGATGGGGCAAGATGGTACAGCACGGTGTCCCCACAGCAGAAGCGTAGCTGCTGCTATCCCACCACATGATTGCACCGTTATACTATTATTTTTGTTGTTATCGGTATGGGAATCCTTTCTGTGCAGAATCTGAGATGTCTATTTGTTTATACAACTGTTGGAAAACTCATCTCTCGTGCATGGCATGGAGCGGGGTGGGGGTGGGGGACGTGGCCTGACTCCTTGGACCATCCGAGAGATCTCCCGGGGTGAGGAGATGCCCTTGATTGGGGTGATGGTTACATCAGTACATTTATTTGTCAAAACTTATTGAACTAGATGCTTAAATGAGCGCATTTTACGGAATGGAAATTATATGTTAATGAAGTTGAAGCTGATTAAAAAAAATTTAACTGTTAGCACACGGAGTAGTAGAGAAGCAAGTGATTACCTCTAAGTGGATCTATTTCTTGACTTGTTCTAAAATAGGCATCATCTTATAGATAATTAAAGAGTAGTAACTGTGATACTTTATTAATATTTAATAATCATATATAATTTAAAAAACCCCAAACTATACACCTACATAGAGTAGTAAGTGCGGTCTTTCTCTGTTATATGCAGATTTAAGGAAAAACCTTCTGTCTGGATGACGTGATTTGGCCTCAGTCTCCCCCAGTCGCCCCAAGGAAGCTCTGAGATGCTCTCGCTTTCAGAGCATAGTCTGGTTTGTCCTTAGGTGGTTATTTTCTGATTTGTCCAGTGCTGTCTTTCCTACACTCTGCCTTCCCCAGTAAGATGGAGCCACAGGTGGCTGTGGAAGCTACACAGGAAGGTAGCTGGGCCAAACTGAGATGTGCTCCAGGTGTGAAACACACACCGAGTTTCAAAGATGTCACACGAAGAAAAGAACATAAAAATATCTCATCGATAATTTTTAAGTAGTATTTTGGATTCAATAAAATGGTATTAAAATTAATTTCACCCATTTCTTTTCACATTTAAAAAAACGTGAGGGGCTGGCCCCGTGGCCGAGTGGTTAAGTTTGCGCGCTCCGCTGCAGGCGGCCCAGTGTTTCGTTGGTTCGAATCCTGGGTGCGGACATGGCACTGCTCATCAAACCACGCTGAGGCAGTGTCCCACATGCCACAACTAGAAGGACCCACAACGAAGAATATACAACTATGTACCGGGGGGCTTTGGGGAGAAAAAGGAAAAAAATAAAATCTTAAAAAAAAAAAGTGACTGCTACTATCTCACTACTGGGTATTTACCCAACGAACTTGAAATCAACAATCCAAAGAGACTTATGCGCCCCTATGTTCACTGCAGCATTATTCACAATAGCCAAGACGTGGAAGCAACCCAAGTGCCCACTGACTGATGATTGGATAAAGAAGAGGTGGCATATGTACACAATGGAATACCACTCAGCCATAACAAAGACGAAATTGTCCCATTTGCAACCACATGGGTGGTCCCTGAGGGCATCATGTTAAACAAAATAAGCCAGACAGAGAAAGACAAACACCATATGATTTCACCCATATGTGGAAGATAAAGAAACTTAGAAAGAGAACAAATTAGTGGTTACTAGGACAGTGGGGTGGAGGGTGGGAACAAGGGGTGAAGGGGCACACTGATATGGTGTATGACAAACGATAATGTACAACTGAAATCTCACGATGTTATAAGCTATTATGACCACAACAAAAAAAAATGTGATTGCTAGAAATGCTGTAATGACATACGTGGCCTGAGTCGTATTCCTATTGGACACGGCTGTCCTAGACTCTGCTAGCTCGTCTCTTTTATTTACCTCTAAATACCCAGCACCTAGCACTTCGCTTCACACCCTGTAGGTGTTAAATATTAATTGATTTAAAAAAAAGTGACGTGCTTCAGAGGCAAACCAGCCTCAAACTAGCCTTATTTGAGCTCAAATCCAAACCTGAAGAGTATTAGCAATTTCCACCCCCCCAGCAACAGAATCCTCCCACGTCTTACATGGAACCCCAATATACGGAACGGATCAAAGGGGCGCTGGTCTGGTTAAAGTGGAGGCATGGCGATGGGGGGCTGCCCATCCTCAGTCCCTCCCCCGCCCCCACCGCAACCCCCAGGGCGCCCACAGAAACCCCAGACTCGGGAAAAGATGGAAAAATGGCGGATGAGAGGATCCACGGAAGCATTTTTTCTGAGATGTCCCATATTCTTTCCATAAACCCATTTTCTCTTACTCTACAGTCAGCGAAGCTTGCCCTCAGAGAAACTTAAATATACAGAAATCAATACCAGAAGTGGGGTGATGGACGCTGGGTGGCAAAATCGATGTGTCTCATTGCTCTTCCCAACATGGAACACTTAGGGCACGGGGCTCTGTGTCCCTCCGTCCCTCCCAGGGACCGCCACATGGGCCCCAGATGACCTCTTTGTGTGTGTTCCTTTTCTCCCGGACTGAGCCTTGGGGTGGCGAGGGTCAGGGGCCGGGGGTGTGGGGAGAACCTGGAAGACCCGGAGTTACCTCTTCTAGACAGCGAGCCTCTTCTTGCTGGTTCTCTTTCCCAAACTCTTCCAGAGGATATTTCAGCCGTGGGAATGGCGCGATGGGCCAGTCGAAGGACGGGATGTCGATCTTGTGAATGGCTTTGGAGTGTGTGGTCGCCAAGCAACCTGGGTCCAGCAAAACAGAAGAGCAGAGGGTGGGCTGGGGGAGGCGGGAGGCACAGGCTTTGAAAAGGAGACTGTGGGCATTTCAGGACGAGACGTTAAATGCCCAGGGAGGCCTGGCGCCTGCAGAAACGCAGTTCCTGTAACCTCCTGGGGCTGAAGTAGAACCCGTGAACACTTAACTGCGTGTGTGTGTGCATGCGTGTGCGCGTGCGTGTGTGTTTTGCGTTCTGATTCATCACAGATTAAGCACAGACTTTGAAGGCACAAAGACAAGGGTTCCAATCCTGGCCATTTGGCCTCGGAATGTTTCTCCCCTTGCTGAGTCGCGATTTCCACACGGAGCGGGGAATAATAACCCCGCTCTGCAGGGAACGGGGCGGAGTCCACGAGTCAGTAGGTGCAAACCGCCAACGTGAGAACAAAGGCAGCCTCGCTTTTGCTGTTCTGTGCTGTTGCTCTAACGGCCACCTCGGGGCCACGTGGCCCTCCTTACCCATGGTCCTCCCGTGGAACGCGCCCATGAAGGAGAGGATGCTGTAGTCCGGGCACCCGGGGGCCTGGAACCAAGAGAGAGCAGTCGTCAGTCACGGCTGTAGGGACTGGGGGGCTGTGTGGTTGCCCCGCGCACCTGGAGGAGCAGGAGGTCCATCAGAAGAACCGGGGTCCCTTCTCAGGCCCAGGTCACCACCCAGACCCCTGAGGTCTATATCCAGCCCCCAATGTTTTGTTTTGCGCATATAGTAAAAAAATTGTTCTTTAAATGAAGAGATTTCACATAAACATTGGAACTTCTGTCTTCTCACAAATTCTGCACCATTTGGGCCCATTTTTCTCAGCCGAGTCTGACAGCTGGGCGAGCACGCTGCCCCAGGCCCACCTTCATGACACCTTTAAGTCACCGGCTGTCACCTGCCGGGCTGCTGGGGCTGTTGACTTTTCAGCCCCCGATCTACAAGCCCTTCACACACTTCTCGGCCCTCCCGGCTCCCGGCTGCTCCGGCCTCGACTGCTCCAGGTGGCCCAGGTGCTAATGGTGCCTACTGCCTCCCAGACGTGAGGCTGAGCCAGCACCTCATGGGAAACGCCCTAGGTCTTTGGGCAAGTCTGCTGGGCCGAAGCTGGAGGAGCCCCCTTTCCCCCATGGCGGCTGCCCCCCGGGCTCAGGAGGGGTGCATGAGCTCCCCACCCCACCCAGCCCCTAGGGAATGGCGCTGCGGCTGGGTTTCCTGACGCTCCACCCAGCCAGGGCAACAGATCCATTTCCAGCTGACTCGGGCAGAAGGGCTGGGGACACTGCAGAGGCCACCAGAGGGGCCCCGAGTCTCTGGGGGTTGATACCGCATTTCCTCGGGCTGGCTGATCTCCAATGGGGTCTCTGAGACCCCTGGGAAAAGCTCCAGGACCTCCCCCCACAAACTCCAGGATACCCTCTTGTCAGTTTCCTTTGTTCGCTCCTGGTTATAAACATGATACACACACATCATTGCACATATTGTGATGCAGCCACTTAACATGAGCAATGAGATCTAAAAACGTCGATGGAATAGGATGTCCCTGGATATCAGAAGAGAAAGAGGTAGGGCAGGATCCATTTTTTTCAAAAAATGGTTAGAAGGAAAAAGAAAAAGCTTCAGTTTTTGTAGGTTTGTATGAACATGGAGAAAGGTGTGGATCTATTGCCAATAAGAGGTGGGATTAGGGAAAAAAACTAAGAAAGCATAAAAGAAAAAAAATAAAAATCTCACCACCCAGAGGCAACCCTTTGTAAACACGTTAGCAGGATTTCTTCTGGCAATTTCCTCTGTATTTATTTACATGGGTGAGAGCACAGTGTCCATACAATTTACATTCCACTGTTTTCACTGAATTATAGCATGCATGTCTCCGGGCCAAGAGAACTCCTTGGTCATGATTTCTGCTGCAGAATATTGCGGATGTAAGTAGTGGATAACTGAGCTCAGTGGCTCTTGATTCTTTTGTTTTTAAGCAGCAGACACTTCCGTCTACATCATAATGGGATCCCATATGTGAAATGGGGTAGGCTGGGCCTCCTCTGGTGAAGCTGGCTGGGGAGCTTGGCCTCCACTCTCTTGGCCTTCCCTGCGGCTGTACCACCGCTGTCCCCAACAGTGGCCTCCTTGGCACCTCTGGGAACTCTGGGCACTTCTGGTTCCATCTGGAACCCCGACCCTTAATTCCCCTTTCCCTGTTACTGGATGGATTGGTGGTTTCCAGTCTTTTCTGGCTATCGTCACTGTAAGCACCAACAGGGTGAACACTCCTGCACATAACATTTGTGTTGACATTTTGGATTTTTCTAGAGAATACATTAAAGGCCTCCTTGGGTGGGTCAAATTCAGGAAGCTGTCCTGGGAAACTGATGAGCACCAGTCAAGAAGAGCTCCTCTTGGCCTTGATACCAAGGGAACAGACTGGGGGTCAGAATGCTTGGGGACCCCTTGTTATGGACCAAATGTTTGCATCCCCCCAAATCCGTATGTCAAGGCCCTAACCACGAATGTGACGGTATTGAACCCGGGGTCTTGGAGAGTAAAGGGGGTTGGATGAGGTCATGAGGGGAGGCCCCAGATGGAGTTGGTGTCCTTTAAAAAAAGAGACACAAGAGAGCTTGCTGGCTCTCTCCCTGATGTGGGAGGACACAGCGAGAAGGCGGCCGTCTGCAAGTCAGGAAGAGAGCCCGCCCCGGAGAACCAGTCAGCCAGCACCTTGATCTTGGACTTCTCGCCTCCAGAACCGGGAGAAAACATACATCTGTTGTTTAAGCTGCCCAGTCCATGGGATTTTGTTATGGCCAACTATGACAGCTTCCTATTTGAGAAGAACAGTGTCCGTCAACCAGCGTCAGCCTGGGGGCCGCGGCAGCCCCCCAGGGACCAGGCGGAGGGCCCTGCACTCACCTGGTTGATCATGCACGTCTCCAGCTCCTCTTTGGAGAAACCGGCTTGACCCCTTTCTTTACTCTGACCAAACAGAAGAGAACAAAATCTCAGAGACCCTCTGGGGCAGGAGGGGGCTTCAACTTTCCACTCAACCCATACTGAGTCCTGACAACTAGGGAGTCATTCTCAAGAGCTGGTCTTATACGTTGGTCACTACACTTCTGTACTGAAGCACAAGATGGTTAACGTCCTTGCTATGAAATCAATAGATGAATATAAGGTGTGTTACTATTCCATTAGCAACAATGGAGATCTGCTGACATGGTACATGTCATGCCAGGTAAAACGGAATAATTACAAAGCCTCCGCCCTCTGCACCATACCCCACTGGGATGTTTGGAAGGCCCCGTCCAGGCAGTGGCTCCCGGGACTTCGACCATGGTCTCTGGCCAGTTGGGATGAACAGGTGGACAAGGAGTGTGTGGCTGGGCGCTGGGGAGCCTCGGCATGTGTGTGTGTGTGTGCACGCGTGTGTGCACTCACGCCCCAACCTCACCCGGTACCACATGAAGATGGTCTTGAAGGCGTTTTCGTTGGAGCAGGAGCCGCAGGCCATGGTGATGAGCTGGGACATCCCTTTGGGAGCCACCTGCAGAGAAGGAGACAGCTGTGGGCCCAGCTCCGTCTGGACTCCCCACGTCCCCGAGCGGGAGCTGTGGCTTTGCAGGGGCCACACGCTGCCCCTTGAAGGCTGCGGGGTGGGGGGGTGGGGAGGAGGGAAGCTGGGACGTCCCGGAAGCAGCTGGACTGGGAGAGTGGACTCGGGCTGTTTGGGGCAGAGGAGAAGCCCTGGAAAGCCCTGGGGCTGGACGGCAGAGGATAAAAGGGCGAAGAAAAGCCCAGTCTGTCCCTCTTGATGAAACCACCACCCCTGAGACACCCACATTTGACAGGTGGGAAGCTGAGGTTCCAAATGACCTTAATCGTAATAACTAACACCAAAATGTCAGGGAGGATTCATGAAAGTCTGCAAAACTCCTGTCATGGGACAAACAATTTCTCCCGAGCTCCCTTCTTTCTGCATACAAGAAATCCCTTCTTTTCCGCAAAAGGAAAAGTAAAAACACTCTTTATGAAAGAAACCGCACAGAGAGCCGGATCGAAGTAGAGATACCCCTTTCTTAATCATTAGGCATCTCAGTCCACCCCGTCCCCTGCTGGTACCGCCTCCAAGAGATCAGACAGCCGCTCTGCGGGGCTGGACCATGGAGGGGCCCCAACCACGGCAGGGAGTCCCCCGAAACTCACCGAGAGCAAGGACTCGCGAAGCTTCTCCACAAAGTTCTCGGGGGGCAGGATTCCGAGGGCAGGTCTGTTGATGAACACGCTCTGCAGAAAGGCCGGGAGACACACGGTGACCCCTTGGGCCTGCCCCAGCCCCCTGCCCACCAGGGAAGCTTTTCACAGTGGACGCGTTCACACAGGCCGGTGTGGATAGGACAGCTCCTCCTGCACTTTGAGACACGGCCACCAGGATCGCTCTGGGCTTTTTAAAAAAGTGCCCATTTCTTGGTTGTGCTATGGCGCTGTAGTTATACACGATGCTACCACGGGGGGCAAGTGGTTGAAGGATACAGGGGTCCTCTTTGTAATATTTTTTTTACAACTTCCCCTGAATCTGAAATTTAAAAAAACCTGTCAGGGGGCCAGCCCGTGGCTGAGTGGTTAAGTTCGTGCGCTCCGCTGCGGCGGCCCAGGGTTTCGCTGGTTTGGATCCCGGGCACCGACGTGGTGCCGCTCATTGGGCCATGCTGGGGCGGCATCCCACATGCCACAACTAGAAGGACCCACAACTAACAATATACAACTATGCGTTGGGGGGCTTTCGAGAGAAAAAGGAAAAATTTGAAAAATCTAAAAAAACCTGTCGGAATGGCTAAAAAACAAAAAATGGGTAATAACAAGTATTGGGGAGGATGGAGAGCAATTAGAACTCTCAGTCACGGCTGGTGGGAATGCAACATGGTGCAGCCACTTTGGAAAACAGTTTGGGAGTTTCCTATAATGTTAAACATACACACACCCTACACAACCCAGCAACCCACTTCCAGGTACTTACCTAGGTGAAGTGAACGCGTGTCCACACACAGGTGAATGCACGCGCATGTTTACAGGGGCTTTTATTTTTAGTTGCCAAAAAGTGGAAACAACCCCAATGCCCTTCCACTGGGGGAAGGGTAAATAAACCGTGGGACATGCACACCATGGAATACTACTCAGCAATAAAAAGGAATAATCTGCCGATGCACACAATAACATGGAAGAAGATGGAAGAACCTCAGAGTCACGATGCTGAGAGAAGAAGCCAGAATCGAAGGGTCACACCCTGGGTGGCTCCATTTATAGGACGTTCTGGAAAAGGCAAAACTATAGGGACAGAAAACAGCTCATGGTTGCCAGGGGCTGGGGTGGGATTGACTACAAATGGGCTCGGGGAATGTCTGGGGTCATGAACTGTTTGGGTCTGGGTTGGTTTTAATTGCGGTAAAAAAGGAGTAACATAAAATTTGCCATCTTAACCATTTCAGATGCACAGTTCAGTTGTGTTAAGTACATTCACATTGTTGCACAACCATCAGCACCGTCCATCTCCAGGACTTTTTCATCTTGCAAAACGGAAACATTGTACCCGTTAAACAGTAACTCTCCTTTCTCTCTCCCCACAGTTCCTGGCAACCACCATCTTCCCATCTCTATGAATTTGACGACTCTAGGTGCCTTGTACAAGCGGAATGAAACAGTATCTGTCCTTTTGTGACTGGCTTATTTCATTTAGCACAATGCCCTCCAGGTTCATCTATGTTACAGCATACAGCAGACTTTCTTTCCTTTAAAGCTGAATACCATTCCACTGTATGGCTATGCCACATTTTCTTTATCCATTCATCTGTCGATGGGCACCTGGGCTGCTTCCCCCTTTCGGCTATTGTGAATAACGCTGCCATGAACACGGATGTACAAATGTGTCTGGATGTTGACAGCGACTATATGACAATGCTTTTGTCGAAGTTCAAAGAACTATATACTATAAAGGATGGGTTTTACCACACGTAAATTATACTTTAATTTTTCAAAAACATGGAGGGAAAAAGTCGTTAAGAAGCAGCAGCAGCTCTGGAATTTCCGAAGAGAACAGTGTGTAGCGCAGCCCTGATGGCCTGGCGGTTAAGGTTTGGCGCTCTCACAGCTTTGGCGGCCCAGGTTCGCTTCCCAGTCCTGGACCCACACCACCCGTCTGTCAGTAGCCATGCTGTGGTGGTGGCTCACATGGAAGACCTAGAAGGACTTACAACTAGGACTTAACAACCATGTACTGGGGGGCTTTGGGGAGGGAAAAAAATGTAACAGGGTGTAGCGGGACAAACTGATGAGGGAGCTGGTTAAATAGAATGGGCTGAGTACGAGAAAAGCAATGTTAGAAAAATTACTTGTCTATGTTGATTTTTTTTTTCCTCTAATTTTGATAGTTGGGGGTCCAGAGAAGTGTTTCCCTCTGCAAGGACACCACCACCAGCGTCTGAGGCTAAGCAGACGCTCGCTTCTGCTTCCCGGGAAACGGTGGCGGGCACTGAGAGGAACTCACTTGTCCCAGGTGGGTCAGGCTGGCCCTGTGACTGCGGCCAAGGGAGCCAACGCCTCCAAATTTCAAAAGAAAGGGAAACGCAGATTTTAATGTGAGATGGCCCCATTTTAAAATGCTGGCCAAAATTCTCTTAAGACAGCCTTTGGCCGAGGGACAGGCCCACACTCAGGTGGCTGAGTTCTTGAAGAAGACCAGCCCGCGCCTTGCTGGCTTTCAAAACACAGGCACGGCTGTTAGCCGCCCACGTGATGGGGTTGGAGACACATGCAGGGCCTACGCTCCCAACCTCCCCACAGGCTTGTCCTCAAATACTTTCCTTAAAGCGAAGAACAGGGATAACTTTCGATTCTGGAAGGGCGCCGACCACCGCAGGTTTCACCCACGTGGGGTGTTGCTGTTTGTTAGGAGCCTGATGATATTTTATACTCTGATCTGGCTATTTCCAGACTTCCTCTAAAGAAACGATTTCAAACGTGGAGAAAGGCTATGCATTCAGTTACTTGTGTAGCCTTGTTTATAACAACAAAAAGGAGCAACACTCTAAATGCCAACATTAGGTTAAGTAAGCTAAGACACTAACTCAAGATGCTGTTATGTGGCTGGTACAATGGTGATGAAAAACGTTCCAATTTTACACCACGGTTCACTCTCGGTGTTGTACGTTCCACGGGTTTTGACAGATGCATAAGGACACGTGTCCACTCTTATAGAAAAGACACAAATGGAAATGGAGACGGAATGAGCAGAGCCGTCCTGGCCCTGAGGTCCAGCTGGGGCCCCGGGCAGGACGCGGGAAAAGGCCCAGGGGGTCTGTACAATGGATAAACGGCGAGCTCACCGGGAAGTGGATTTGGATAACAAAAAGGGATTGTGCTACGTGCAGGGTGGCATCCTGGATGGGGTCCTGGAAAGAAAAGTGGACGTGGGTGGGACACTGGGGAAATCTGAATAGTCTGTGGTACGTAACGTAGCAACGTGAGTCTCAGTTTTGACGAGGGTGCCGTGGAGAGGTGAGTGTCGGCGCTGGGGTGACTGGGCTGAGAGGCAGACGGAAACTGTCTTTACAACTTGTCTATAAATCTGAACCTCATCCAAAGTAAAAATGCTTAGTTAGAGAAAAGACAGAGGATTGTAGTGAGCCCAGGATTAGGGTCGTCTTGGGCTCTCCCTCTCTTGGACATAATCAGCGTAATAACATCAACGCAAACCCAAATAGTGGCATCATCGGATAGGAGGAAACCCAAGGACAGGGAGGCCCCAGGACTCAGCCTCCTGGTGGCTGTGGAATTCATCTTGGACCACCAGACATTGTGGCAGGTTCACATATCTGTTGTTTTTTCTGCTTTGTGACCACCCGACTGGGTCTAGGATAAGTAGCGGGGGAAGCTGACTCTCCTGATTACAGAGATGGGGAAACTGAGGACCAGAGAGGTCAAGCAACCTGCCCCAAGTCACACAGACAGGAAGGAGCAGAACCACGACTCAAACTCAGGTCTGCTGACTTCAGGTTCCATCCTCTGCCAGACCCCACAGGCAGCCACCACCTGAACATGGTAATGCTGGATACGAGTTTGCCTGGCACGGCCAGGAGACCTGGGCTGGCCTGTAGGGGTCCCTGAGGGGCATTTCCTCTTGGCTCAGAGCTGTTAGTGGGGCTCCTAAGAAATCAAGCCCATCATGAGATCAGGGTGGAGGCGAATGGCCATCATCGGATTCGGGGGAAGCAGCTCACACAGCGGACGACCGGGCTGGCTGGCAGCTTGACGGTCTGTCTGGGCCCAGGGAAGACGTAGGGGTGGTGTTCTTGTTCAGCAAAGCCTGACATTAAGGACAGAAGATATCTGGGACATTGAGGAGCAGAATCAAACGAGGACAGGTCTCGAGAATCCTTGCCGTCAAACTCAGCCCTCAAGCGCAGCGTGAAGAGAACGGGCTTTGGTTTAAGTGGCTGTGCAATCACTTAACCTCCCAGGGGCAAGTCACTTAACTTCTCTGGTCTCAGAGTCCTCATCTGCCAAAATGGGGCCCCTCCCTGGGTGCTCGTGAGGAGCTGGTGAGACCACATGGCATAAGACGAGGCAGGAGCTCAGTCTAGAAGGACAGTCACACGGGGGGAAGGTCTGGAGGTCACAGGGATGGTACGTGTCATCCCTGACCAGGCCAGTTGCCCTACGTCCATCCCAGGGGCCACGGATATCATCTGCGCTCATCATTCATTGCCATGTGACTGTGCACGTGCAACGTCCAACCGTGGGCAACGTAATGAGGTGGCCCTGACGACATAAGAAATTGTAAACGGAACCCAGATATTGGATCCAGGGGACATGGCTTCATTTTTTGCAGCCACATGATATAATTATGTTGGCGCTTAAGGGTGACATGGTTAGGGTACAAAAGAGTTGATGGGCCCCTTCTCAGGACTTCAATGACCTGGCAGGAAGCTGCCCCAGACAGCGAAAATACCGCACCCACCACTGGAGCGCATCTCCGGCCAAGAACCTGGAAGACTCAAGACGTCAAGCGATGCTCCTCCGGCCTCATGCCCCGGGCGCGCCCTGCGGAGCTTATGGCCGTCAGCTGCCACTTCTCTAAGACTGTGCCAGGGTGCTCCCCTCACCCTGCCCCAAACCCAGAGCTCTGCAGGACCATGTCAGCACGGACTGCGATCCAGCCTGGGATCTCACCACCGAGTCCCAGAACTGAGAACAGGGCCCAGGACAAAGTAGAGATTGAAGCAATCATTGGGGGATGAACAAATGTCAAGAAATAAGGCTGAAGAAGCAGGGGCCGGCTCACATTTGAAGCAGAGGCGTTTGGGAAGCATCCTGAAGGCAGTGGGTATCCAGAACGGGTACCACGCACTCTGCATTTTGGAGGATGGTTTGAAGTCTGGAGGTGGGGTGGGAGGGGGCTGATGGAGAGGGGCTGTTGGGGAAAAATCCAAGTGGAAGCTGTAGAGCTAGGACTGGTCCCTGACTGGGCAAGAGGTGAAAGGTGAGAGGTAAGGGGGAGGGGTGGGAGAAAGGAAGGATGGAGTGAGGCTTCCAGGCTCCTGGCAGAGACAGGTGGGGGCGGGGCATCCTGCCAATCAGACTCCCCAGCCCTCCAAATCACGTGTTTTGGGGGGATGGTTCAGCCTCCGGAGACAGCTGACACTGCAAATGTGTGTGACATGTTTGTTGACACATTTTTTTCAGCACCAACTGCCGAGGCATCTGGGATCCGCACAACGTTTCGAAACAAAGCCGGGCTTTGAATGTAAACACGCCCGCGGAGCCTCAGGCCACAGACAGCCTCGCTAGACATTTCAGGAAGGCTGGCGGATCCCCCTGCAGCAGCCCCTGAACTTGTCAACGGATCGAGGCCAGGAACGGCTCCAAGCCCCTTCCAGCAGGGCACAGCCATTCTAAGGAGGGAAATGTGGTTATTTCCTATCATCTTCAACTCTACCCGTTAAAAGGGAAGAAAGTTTAAGGCTGGGAGTCAGTCTCTAATGGGGTTGGGCTGTCCTTCCTCGCCGGCTTTTCTCAGATTTCTCTTCGGGAATCACACGCCTTGTCACGTGCAGACGAGTGTGTTGCTCTCTGAGTAAAATGCAAGCCCCCCAATGACACTCGGTGTTGGTGAGGACGTGGAGCCACGGGAACGCTCACACACCGCTGAAGGCAGTGGGGGTCCCACGGCCACTCCGAAAGTGCCTGGCAGGGTCTGCCGAAGCGGACCGCGTGCGCGCACTGCGGCCAGCAGCCCCACGCCTCGCAGTGGATCCAACACGAGAAACGCGCTCGAGCGTTCACAGCAGCCGTCTTTGTAGGAAACGAGCCAAACGCCCATCAACAGTAGAAGGGGTAAATTAATCGCAGCATCTTCACACAGCGGAACGCTCTAAAGCCATGAGAATACGCTAGTCTGCGGCTCTACACAGCAAGGATAAATCACGCAGACGGATTCTGAGGGAACTAAGCCAGACATGACAAAGAGCACACACTGCATGATTCCATTTACGTGGCGACAAAGACTGGAGGAAACGCATCTTTGCTGCTGGCGGTAAGGGGAGCAGCCCACCCAACCTGGTCTGGGGAGCAGTAACGGGCGGGGGGCATGCTGTGGGGACCAGTTGTAACTTATGTGTTCCCAATAGCGGGGTTGGGGGGAGCATCTTACGCTTGTGATGTAGAAAGCACAGCCATCTAAATGGGCCATATATCCCACATCATGCACATACAGACCACACCGAACAGGTGTGTTGAGGGCACACGGGGGTTCCCGACTGGGGCAACTCACCCCCAGGGGGGCGTTTGGCAGTGTCTGCAGACATTTTCATTGTTGTCATAACTGGGGAGGGTGCCACTGGCATCTCCTGGGTGGAGGCCAGGGATGCTATCAAACATCCCCCCACGCACGGGACGGCCCCACAACAGAGGGTCATCGGGCTCCAAATGCCGACAGTGCCGAGGGTGGGACGCTGCGTGTCGCCTGGCCCCTGCCTGCCACTCCAGGCCTACTCGGATCCCTCCCGGGTCCCCCTGCTCCGGCCACACAGTCCTCTTTTGTTCCTCAAGCTCGCCACAGCAGGTCTCCTCTCACTCCCTTCTCCCTGCCGGGACCACTCTTCGCTGGCTCGTCACCTGTTAGCACCTTCTCCCCCTTCAGATCTCAGCTCAAACGTCACTTCCCTGGGAACAGTGCCCTGACTCCAGCCCCTCCATCCCTGAATAGCCCAGCTCCCCTGGGTTTTATTCCCAGCACCTCCTCTGGCTGTGTGGCCTTGGACAAATATTTGACCTCTCTGTGCCTCAGTTTCCCCATCTATAAAATGGGAATAAAACAGCATCTGCCTCATAGATGTGTCAATATTAGAGCTGTGAAGTGCTGGACACAGTGTCTATGCGTATTACACTCTTAATCAATGTTAACTGTTATTATTGCCATCATTATTTTACGCCCGCACAGCACCACTCGCCTCCCTACATAGAACTTAATATGGTGGCAAATCTCTGCTTACATGTGTGGCTAATTGACTGACTCCATGGGAGCAGGGTGCTGTGTTTCTGCTCACCAAGGCATTCCAAGTGCCTAGTGCATAGTATGCGCTCCATAAATATTTATGGGATGAATGAATGAATGAACGGATGAATGAATAGACTGTTTCCAAAGGCCACCCCAGGCATCCTCTGAATCTGCACGAACACGTCTGGGCTTTACTCTGCATTACCCGGACTCACCGCGTTCCGAGGCTGTTGGACGAGTTTCATGAGGGCAGGGTGGTTGTAACCTGAGGGGAGGGGGGCATGGTTAGAGATAGCATCGCATCTTGGGGTCCCTGTGCCCCTCCCCCATCGCCTGCCCTGCCCTCTTTCCAACCCTGCAACTCTCTTCACACGCGAAGGGGTCTTTTTATTCTTTGCGGACACAGAGGCCCGTTCCTTGGCCCACGCAGACCCCGCAGGCTCAGAATCGCTCAGGGTGCTGCCCAGAAATCTTCAACAAGCTCTCTGGGTGATTTTGATGCTCCTTTAGGTTTGAGACCCACTGGACTAGAGCAGCATAAGGGGAGGTGAATGCAAGGTTAAGGCAAGACCAGGGCTGGCGGCAGAACTGCAAACGTGGTCCTCGCCTTCTGCCCCGGTGCCCGCTGGGTGAGTCAAATCGCACTAAGGGTTCGCTCAAGGACTGAGAGAGTGACTGTTGCAGCCTGCGGCCAGCACATCCGATTCTTCACACATTTGCTTATTCCCAGAGTCCTGCCAACTTTACTGTCCAGACTGGGCCCGACCTTCCACGATAAGGCTCAAGATACCCTTTGATTTAGCAACTGCCCTTGTATGAATTTCCCCTGCACATGTGCATAAAGACCGACGTACATGTTTCTTAATCAAGACCCTCCAACATCTCCCGGCTTGACAACAACCTAGAGTCCCGCAAAAGCCGATCAGCTGCGGCGACGATTAGCAGTAACGCCCAGGAAGTCCCCTGCACAGAGCAGATGCTCAATGAATGGAAGCTTTTACTGTAAAGGGGGGGTGGAGCCCGACAGTAGTGCAAACAACTGGAGTCAGAATGTCCCGGGGTCAAAGCCTTTACTTCCACTTATTGAACATCTACTATGCGAGGGGATTTTTGCTCATTATCCCTAATCCCGGCCACAAGTCCCACAGGAAGGACAAGGTTGTAGGAGGCACAGAAGCCAGGAGACCACATTGCGAGACCCTCAAAGGCAGTGGCCAAGTGGTCAGCTCAATAGATACTAGCTGAATGAATGAATAAGATGGAGACTCAGCGACACAGGCAAGAACTCAAAACTGTGGGAGATGACAAAAGACTAATGGATGAATCTCGGAGCAGGAAGCAGACTTTGGGGGAAAATCTCTTGGTCTTCAAGTATCACAATTTTTATCACGCATCTAACATATTTATTTTTTTAAAACCGGTTCACTTTTCAATTTAAATAAATTTACTTTGGAAGGAGACTTTACGTCACTACCCTAAGAGGCCTGCCCAAGCCTCCAGAAGAAGAGATGAGCAAGTTGAGACAGGGGTTAAAGACCCAGCACTACTGGGGAGATGTCCTCCTCGATGGATCAGAAAGAATGAACAGACTTGAAAAGCCTTGTGGTTTCACTCTGCCTGCAGCGGGGAGCACGGATGTTGGGGGGATGGTGGTCGTGGACCAGAGGGGGAGTGCTGTTGACGTTCTTCCCCCACCCCTCCACACCCCTCCCCACCCCTCCCCTCCCCTCCCCAGCCCTCCCCACCCCGCTCCAAGGCTGCTGGGCCCAGGGCTGGAACGCGCTCTTTACTCAAGGAAGGAGCGCTCTGTGGGTTTTTTCCAACAGTTTTTTGGCCAGAGGCCTTTCAGCTCTGGGTCTTTATCACGCTGCCTGGGTGTTTGCGACTCTTCTGCCTCAGTGGATAAGCGAGTTCCAGGGAAGGCTTATTAAGCCACAGATGCAGCTTGTCTGGTTGGCTTCAGGAGGAAAGATGGAAGCAGAGCTGGTCCCTCTGATCGGGGAAGTCCTACGCCCGGCCTTTTGATGCTGTGGGATCCCCACACTGTGAGGCAGGGCAGGGGCAGCCCCTGGGAGGCTGCTATCACAGAAGGCAGCTTGGGAGGCAGAGTCATGGGTTCAAATCCTTGGGCTCCCTGGACATGCTGGGCAAACCCTGTAACCTCCGGAAGCTGGTCCCCATGGGTAAACTGGAGGGGATGTTAAAAGACCCGATGTTACGGGGATTCAACGGGATAACAGGCAGAGCAACATGCCAGGCATACCGTCAACTCTCAATAATTTCTAATTAAAAAAAATCGTCTCAAAGATTGAAGATACGGGAGAAAAGCTGGCCAGAGAGAGAACTTTTAGAACTTCTAGTTTTTTAACAACTGCAGCCGGCCTGATCCCCCACCCCACATGCACGCTGCTGGCTGGCTGGGGACGGGAATGAGGGGCCCTGGAGCTGGGGTGGGGGATGTAGGAGTTAACTGGGAAGAGTGCCATGGCTAATATACGGTGGGGCCGGGATTCGGACTCAGGGTAACTCAAGATCCGATCGCTTTCACTCCAACACAAGATGGAGACAGGGGTTTGTAAATCTTAGACTCCAAAACGCCTTCAGAGGCCAAGGCATCTCTAAAGGATGGAGTTCCCCAAAAGAATGAGTCACCTGCTTACTGTCTGACTGCATCTTAATGGGAAAGAAATAGGTTTGAGGGACTGGGTTTGGGGAAAGCAGAGGAGGGGTGGAGACCGAATTTGGGGTCTCGGGGGAAAGGCCCAAGGCTGCCGGGGGCGGGGGCGGATGGAGCTGCTGATGGGGAGTGGAGGGCTCTCCAGTGTCGTCCACAAAGGGCCAGGCTTCATCAGACGCTCAGCCTACAGACCCGAGAACACAGCAGGGAATCCATCTGAAGAACATCAACCAGCCAAACCACAAACAGCAGCGACCTGCATGTCCAAACCAGCCCTGTCTGTCTGTCGCCCACCATGCCCGCCAATAGCAGCGAGTCATGCTCCGTGTGGCCTGGAGGTGAGCCTGGAGACCAGACGCTGCTGGTGTCCCACCAGGCAGGCCACTCCTCTCCCAGCTGCTGCATGTGGCCCCCGTTGCCTCCTTCTCTGGAAAATTGTCCTTGGTGAGCGGAAGCCCCTTTGCCCAAGAGATGACATACATCCTTCCCTCTGACAGCTCACAGGCAATGACTGATGGGCAGAGGGCACAAAAAGGCCAGCCTCTGCCTCAGTCTGGGATGAAATCTGGGGTGCAAGTCATGCTCCAGGGCCCCCCATGGGATCAGGCTGGTCTCTGGCTGGGAGCTCATCCTTCTTCGCGTCTATGCTGTTTCCCTCCCTCCCCTTTCTCCTGAGAGCTCTCCCTCAATAAACTCCTTGCACAGAATCCTTGCCTCAGGCTCTTCTTCCAGGAAACCCAACCTGAGCCAGCTGACTCGGGACACTGTGGTCACACAGACCTGGGTTTGCACCCTAGCTCTGCTTCCTCTGCAAGCTGTTTAAGCCCTCCAAGCTTTGCTTATCTATCTGAAAAATGGGGATACGAACACTTTACCTTGTGGGGTTTTGGGGAGGAGTAAATGAGAGAAGACAGGTGAAGTCCCTAGTAACACACCCTCTACGAATTACTTGTTCCTTTTCTCTGCCCTTTAGGGACATGAATGGCAACACACAGGGATGTGCCTGCTGGAAGGAGCATCCAGTCTGGACAGCCACAGCTAAGAGAGAGAGGGGACAGCGAGGACCGAGTTCCCAGCTCTTACCTATGGGGACGGAGGAGATCTGGGAATAAAGATCCAGCATCCGGTTGCCATCCACATCGACCAGGTAATTGCCTCGGCTCTCTTCATAATTGCAGAAAAAATGCACGGCCTCTGCATTCTTGGGGAAAGAAGAGACTGAGTCAGGCTCACCTGCAACCCCCTGGATCCTCAGTCTTTCAGGATTAAGGTGGAATTAATGAAGCAAATCAGGACCTGCCTGTTCTGTGGACACATGGAGGGTATATGTAAGTCCTGGCAACGTCGTATATCTTGTCCTGGGGGTACTTACATGGCCGATTTGCTTTGTAATAGTTCATGAAGCTGTGAATTTATATTTTATGCATTTTTCTCTGTGTGTTTTATATATATGCCAACAACAAAGGTTGCAATATAAATCTGAAGAAGATTCTCATAAGTTAAGATGTATGTGGTAAGTCTTAGAGCAACCACTAAGAAAACCAAAAAGTATAAAGTAATTATGTAGGGCCGGCTCTGTGCCATAGCTGTCAAGTTTGTGTGTTCTGCTTTGGCAGCCTGGGGTTCGCAGGTTCGGATCCCGGGTACTGACCTATGCACCGCTTATCAAGCCATGCTGTGGCGGGATCCCACATACAAAATAGAGGAAGATGGGCATAGATGTTACCTCAAACAAAAAGAGGAAGGTTGGCATAGATGTTAACTCCAGGCCAATCTTCCTCACCAAAAAAAATAAATAAATAAAATAAAATAAAAATAAACACAAATTTATAAAAAGTATATAGTTATTATGAAAGAAACAAAAACGTTACACTAGAAGATATTCACTTAATGCAAAAAATAATAATAGTAAAGGAGGAAGGGAGGAACAAAATGATAAATACAACATACCAATAATAACATTAACTGTGGATGGATTAAACGATCCAGTGAAAAATCAGAAACTGTCAGACTGGACAGAAAGATTCAACTATACGTGGTCTACACACGACATACTTTAGATTCGAGAATATGAACAGGTTGAAAGGAAAAGGATGGAAAAAGATATGATTCTCAGCAATCACGAGGAAGCTGGCATGGTTTCTGCTAAAATGAGACAAACTTGACCGTAAAACAAAAGAAAAAAAATGTTCCCAGAGGTAAAGGGAGCAGTTTGATGATGATGAAAGGGTCAGTGTACCAAGAGGATATGACAATTATAAACATAGAAGCAGCTGACAACACAGCCCCAAAAGAGATGAAGCGAAAACCGACAGAATTGAAGGGAAAATGGTTCTATGACGATAATCGGAGACTCTTGACACCTGGCTTTCAACAATGGACGAACAGCCAGGACGAACAGAAGATGAACAAGGAAAGAGACTCGAACGACACCTAGACCAACGCATCTCATAAACACCTGTGGACACGCCCCTAGCAACAGTAGAGCGCGCTTTCTTCTCAAGAGCCTGCGGAACATTTTCCAGGATGGATCACGTGCTAGGCAGGAGGAGGGCTCAATCAACGGAAAAGGGCTGAAACCACATAAAACGTGATTTCCAACCTCAAAACAATGAAACCAGAAATCAGTAACAGAGAGAAATTTGGGAAGCTCACAAAATCGTGGAAGCGAAAACAACACATAAATAGTCAACGAGTCAAAGAAGAAATCACAAGGGAAATTGGGGAAAAAAAAAAAAGGTTTGGAACGAAAGTCAGTGGCATTTTTTTTAAAAAAAGAGCCAGCCCAGAGTTAGCGTCTGCGTCCCTCAGGGGAACTGTGACAGAGAAGCAATGGAAGAAAGGTTACCCCAGCCCCACTTACCTGAATTATATTCAGCTGTTTCATTAACTCCTGCAGGTAAGAAGAACAAAAGCATTATAGCAAAGACACACTCTTGCCAAAGTAGCTTAAAATCGTTCATGTCTTCCCCAGTCTTGGGGCTCTCCCCCGTCATGCCAATAACTTAGTAATCAGCTATTTAGTCAACAATATTATAAACATTTAAAATTTGCTTAATATAAATAGTTGGCAGGAAATAAATCCTGCCAGCTAAACCACCACTAACTACAACAGACGGACTGGACATTTAAACACTTGGGAGAGAGCAATAAAATAAACTAAAATATTTAATGAAAACACCTAAGCTCAAGGCATTTATTAATTTGCATATCAAAGAACCATTTGTACTTATAATCCAAAAGCTCCATAAACTATTCATGCAATTCTATGTAGAAACTGGGAAACATAAGCTAGCTGCTTTACCATTACAGAGATTTCATCTCTAAAAATAATTTGACATAAAATAAACATTAGCAATTCGTGTCATAAAATTATATATCTCTGCATAAAAAATAGAAATAATATTAATGATAAGAATATGAAAAATTATTCCAAGTATTTTACTACTATTCAATCAAAAATCCACCCCTCCTCAAGAGAAATATGCATGAAAAAAGTGTCTCCTTGTGTTAGCAATACACTGTCCCAAATAACTACAGTTAATTACATCAGTACAAAGGTTTCTGGATCTATCAAGTAGTTGCAGTGACAACTGGGGTATGGGGGCCGGCCCGGTGCTATCGTGGTTAGGTGCGCACTCTGCTTCAGCGGCCCAGTGTTTGCTGGTTCGGAATCTGGGTGCGGACCTACACACCGCTCATCAAGCCATGCTGTGGTTGCATCCCACATAGAAGAACGTACAACTAGGATATGCCACCATGTACTGTGGCTTTGGGAAGACTGAAAAAAAAAAGAGGAACACTGGCAATAATGTTAGCTCAATCTTCTTCACCAAAAAAAAAAGAAAGAAAGAAAGAAAAGAAAACAGGGGTATGGTTTCATGGTAAAAAAATGACACTGGATAAAATCTACAAAATATGCGAGAAAAAAGTAAATCTGTATTAAAGAGGTTGACACTGTTATTTTTTTAGATGCAAACATTAGAAACAGTATTGCACATCACAACACAGAATCCAGGTAAGTCAGCCTTCCAGAATGTGTGATATGCAGGTTTTGCAGCATGTTCTTTGAGGAGAAGTCTCAACCTCCCTCATCAGACTCATTTTGCATCTCTTCCATCTCACACACTAACATCTACTCCAGGGGCTCAGAGCTACCCAAAGTCTCTCATATGCCATGGACTGTCCACAAGTACTTTCCTAGAAGACAATGCATTCCTTTGGCAAATTCCTCCCTTTTATCTTTCAAGATCAAGTTCAAGGGCATTTCCTATCCATGCCCTGAGCCATATAGCATTGCCACGTTCTTCCACTGTTGCTGGGATGTTCTGCCCCAGCCCTTGACCCTGGGCTCACAGCAAGCCAACAGAATGAGGTGAAAGAGCCGGTGGGCCAGTGCAGACCCTACGCCTCCAGAGACCCCTGCATGCTCTCCTCGGCCATCGCCATGAGAATGAGCCCAGCCCAGCTTACTGGAGGATGAGAGACACACGGAGCAGAGCAAAGTCACTGCAGTGACCAAGACAAACCGAGCCTAGATCAACCAACAGCCAGCCAGCCCCCAGGCATGAAGATGAGCCCAGCAGAGCCGCCTGCCCAGGCCCTGGTTAACCCTAGATGCATGAGCAATCTGTACACTACTGAGGTCTTGTGATTGTTACGCAGCATTACTGTGGCATTGGATAACTGGTACATCTCCTCTGGGGAGCCTTCTTAGACTTCTTATGCAGAGTGGCCTGGTTCAACGTCCTGGACGTCTAGGGCTCAACTCTCTGAAAGCAGCTAAGAATACAGGTCCCTAAGCTTAGCTGTGTTCTTGCCTCATGGACCCCTTCTGCTGTTTTCCAAAACATCCCACTCAGGTGTGCTCCACTCACCCGAGACCTAGGCCCTGGGACTTCCGTCTTCATCAGAGGCCCGTCATAATCAAATTCAACGTCGACTTTGGCTGCGGCTTGGCTGATGTGTCTGGGTCCTGTGGTAAACAAAGATGATGAGAACCCCTGATGACAGCAGATATAACGAGAATCCTGCCTGAACCAACACCCAAGGGCCCTAACAGAGGCAGCGCCAGGACCTCAACCCCATCCCAGCCAGACCGCCCTGAACACTGGATCTGGCCAGACCCGGGAACCACAAGAACACCGCAGATGTAAAAATTGGAAAGCCCAGTGTCAGTGAAGTTGCTGGCAAACAGGCACGCTCACGTCCTGCTGGCGTGAGGACAAGCGGATGCGGCTTCCCATTCCTTTCAACTGAGCAATCTCATTTCTTAGGATTCGTTCTATGAAAATAGTGGGACCAGTGCACAAAGACGTAGGTCAAAAAGATTCATAACAGGGGGCCGGCCTGGTGGCGCAGTGGTTAAGTTTGCACATTCCACTTTGGCGGTCTGGGGTTAGCCAGTTCAGATCCCGGTGGCGGACATGGCACCGCTTGGCACACCATGCTGTGGTAGGTGTCCCACATAGAAAGCAGAGGAAGATGGGCATGGATGTTAGCTCAGGGCCAGTCTTCCTCAGCAAAAAGGAGGGGGATTGGCAGCAGATGTTAGCTCAGGGCTAATCTTCCTAAAAAAAACCCCAAAACAACAAGAATAACAAAAAGATTCATAATAGTACTGGCTCTAACAACAACAAAAAGAAAGCAACCTAAATGTACCAGGATGGAGGGCAGTTAAACAGAATATGACATATTCGACCATTTCACGGATGATGGAATATTACGTACCCATTAATAGCACTGAGGTTGACATTTTGAATATTTATGGACAGGGAAAGATGCCCATGGTATTAACATGTGAAAGGTCAGATTATAAAAATTATCCAAGTTTTGTAAAAATTTAATCTATATCTAAATGTATGCATAGACCAGAGCTTCCCAGCCCTGGCACTGCCGACACTGTGGGCTGGATAATTCTTTGTCGTGCAGGGCCGTCCTGTGCACTGCAGGATGTTTAACTGCATTCCTGGCCTCACCCACGAGATGCCGGTAGCACTTCCCCCTGAGTTAGCCCCTATTTGTGACAATCAAAAATCACCCAGGAGGGAACAATCAAATGTCTAAATTCAAGTGGCCCCCATTTATGGATGCTTTTTGTTCAAAAAGAAAAGAAGTTTTGGTTATAAGTCATTTTCTTGAGACCCATTTCACCTTTTTTGCTTAGTAACATACATAGAGTAATATACATAGAGAGGGTGTCCCAGGCTGACCCCACACGGCTTTTCAGCTCAGCGTATTCCTGAGACATAAATGGAAGTCACAGGGCCGGGCCCGGTGGTGCAGCGGTTAAGTTTGCATGTTCTGATTCGGCGGCCTGGGGTTCACTGGTTTGCATCCTGGGTGCAGACATGGCACCGCTTGGCACGCCATGCTGTGGTAGGCGTCCCACATATAAAGTAGAGGAAGATGGGCCTGGATGTTAGCTCAGGGCCAGTCTTCCTCAGCAAAAAGAGGAGGATTGGCAGCAGATGTTAGCTCTGGGCTAATCTTCCTCAAAAAAAAAAAGGGAAGTGGCAGCCCCGAGTCTCCTTGATCACTGAGGGAAAGACAGCTTGGTGAATCCAAGAGCAGCGTGTGAGGATTTACCCCCAGGAGCCCCCAGAAATCCCTTTCGGGTCCCTGTTCATCTTTTATCTTCTTGGCACCCGTTTGGTGGTTGGGAAATGTTAGTTTCTCTGACCTGGGTTGCCATAATTGCATCAAACTAGGGACTCGCTAAACACTTCCTATCAATCATACATGTGATCTCATTTCATTCTTACACAACCTGTGGGGTAGTTATTGTGCCTGTTACACGGGAGGGGAGACTAAAACTCAGAGAGGGAAGAAATGTGCCAGGATGTCTCTCTCCGTCTCTCTGTCTCTCACACACACACAGACAAAACCACGACATTAGAAAACACTTAAACTTATTCTTAATTTGCCATGACTGCTTTGGACATCAAGGAAGGATTCTGAATTAATTCTGTAATAAAGTGTAGCCCTTTGAACATAAAGCCCAGTTAAAAATCCAACACTATCCTTATTTTAAGGGATGAAGAAACCAGCTTTTATCGTCTTCTGTCGGATCCTAAAATAAAAAGAGTTTATTCCATTATCGGAGAGTTCAGGGTCATGAGGACATACTGGTGACTTTTTTTATACTAAACTGTTGATGTCATCTTTGGCCAGAACTCAGGGCTACTGGGTCAAGACTGACTCCGACTAGACGCATGTAGAAGTGGGACACGTATTTGGGTAAAGATAGCTCTCAACCGGTGCTGATCTTTCTTTCCTTCCAGCAAAGAGGGAAGTGAAAAACTCAAAATGAGCAGAGCTGTCCTCACTTGAAGACATGCAAGTCCTTCCCTCCTTTCTCCAGAAAATGCCCTGACGTCGCCTCGTAGCCATCAGATCTCTCGGGAATTGGAAAGTGGGAATACGCGGATGGGACGCAGACGGCCGGGGGCGCTGGAGCTGGGCTCTCTTACAAGTCACACGAGCAGATCCATTTATCATGCACTTATGGTGAATGTGTGAATGTACCAGGTGTTATCCTGAGTGCTTGACATGGATTACCTCCTTTAAGCCTCACAACCCTCTAGGAGGTAAAGGTTATTATTATTCCTGTGTTGCAGAAGAAGACGCTGAAGCTCAGAAAGGTCAATCAACTTGCCCAAGGTCACACAGCTGGTAAGCGACGAAGCTGGAAATTTGTCTAATTTGTCTGTCTGACCTCTCCTTTCCTAGACACCATGAAAGTATCTGATGATACCTTTCATCTCATCGAATGCCGGTCTTTGAAATGAAACATTTGCAGGAAAACAACTCACTTCCCACAGAGGCAAATTACTATCTGTAGCACAAGGAAGCAAAAAAACTTTGAATTAATATTGAATGACCCAGCGTTTTCATTCATGAATAAAACAGAAGGCCCAGAAGGGGGGGGTGTGACACACGAGACCCAGCACTGTGGGTAAACGCAGCCGGGCCCCCTGCGTCGGCTAATGATGCTCACCACCCTCAGGGGCCACGCCAATCCACAGTCAGTTTTTAACTCCAAACCATAAAAACAGTCATCGAACCTTTTTAACATCCTCTTGATCTTTATACAGAGAGTAATAAATGAATGTCATTTTCCCCAAACATCAAGGGTTCCTTATGTGAGCCGGTCAAAGTCAAGGTCAAGTTCAACTGGAGTTGTTTGCTCTGTTTTTCCTTTAAAAAAATCTTATCATCCCCTCAACTTCCACCCCATTTATTTTTTGATAACACGAGCATCGAGGAAAATATCACTCAGCAGTAATGGGGAAATAAATACGTGTACTTTCACACCCTGAGATAACAACGTTGCCGTCTAGTCTCCACTCTCTGTGCTTTATTTGCCAATATGTGTTTACAAACTTTCGGGGGCGGGCATGAAGCAACGCCGCTGGGAACACGGCCTCAGGTCATGACCTAGCATCACGGTTAACGGCTTCACCGTGGTCCAGTGGGTGCAGACTCCGCATAAGCACGGCGGGTGCGGGAGCGGCCTGTGCCTTCCGGCTCGGGCACCCTCCTGCTCTCCTTCACTGCGAGGAAGCCACTCCCGTGTTGTGAGCTGCTCCGTGAAGAGGTCCACATGGCACTGAATCCAGCCTCAGCCCTGTGAGTGAGCTTGGAAGCGGATTCCCAGCTCCCACGGCGAGCCTCCAGATGACACCACAGCCCCGACTGACAGCTCAGCGGCAGCCTCAGGAGACACCTACAGCCAGAGGGTCCAGCCAAGCCGCCCCCAGACTCCTAATCCACAGAGACTGTGAGATGGTGTTATTTTAACCTGCTAAGTCTGGGGATGTTTGTTATGTGGCAACAAATAACAATACAGAGGTTAAGGGTGTGGGTCCTGGGGCCACACTGGCTTGATTCAGAGCTTGGTTCGGCCACTTGCTAACTGCCAGACTCTGGGCAAGTTACTTAATTTCTCTAAGTCTGTTTCCTCTATCTTATGGTGTTGTGGTGAGGACAAAACGGATTAAAAGAGATTATTTCTATCATTTCAAAACCATTCCCTGGTGGTGACCAGCCCATCAGCGGTGTATGAGAGCGCAAATCTTCCTGCATCTTTGCCAACACTGTATTTTACTATTAAAAAAAGAATCTGGAGCCGGCCCGGTGGCGCAGCAGTAAAGTTCACACGTTCCGCTTCTCGGCAGCCTGGGGTTCGCCGGTTTGGATCCCAGGTGTGGACACGGCACCGCTTGGCAAAAGCCATGCTGTGGGAGGCGTCCCACATATAAAGTAGGGGAAGATGGGCCCGGATATTAGCTCAGGGCCAGTCTTCCTCAGCAAAAAGAGGAAGATTGGAAGCAGATGTTAGCTCAGGGCTAATCTTCCTCAAAAAAAAAAAAAAAGAATCTATTTATCACCTATCTACCTATCATACTAGATATGCCAAATTGGTAGGCCAAAAGAAAAGAAAAAATCTTATGGTTTTCTAAATCTGGCAGAAGAGTGCCAAAAAAGGATTCAACTCCGACCAAGACAACGCACAGCCGAGTAACTCTGATTTAGCCATTTCCGTTTTTTTTGCATTGTGCCTCCGTTTCTGTTAGGACACTCTCCACCTTATTGTGAATGTCAGTGAAGCGCTCTCCCATGGACCATTTCTTCTGATACAGGAGACAGGTGGAGCAGCGAGGACACTGTTGTCACCCCCACTTTCCTGACGACAAAGCTGAGGGGTGGGGAGGCTCTGCCCATTGCTTCGGCTCGCGTGGTTAACAAGTGGCAAAGCCAGTAGCCCAGCCTTGAGTCTTAATCCACTGCTCTTTCCTCCTCGTCTCCCTGGGAAGTCCTGGATGTCCTTGAGAATGACCTTCAAAAGTGGATCTGCGTGTGCCACCTGGCCATGCGGGGGGGCCAGGGGCCACGTTCCCTTTCCACTGATGTGTCCTCAGCACCGAGTGCAGCGCTGAGCAGGTGATCAACACTGTTAGTCATGGAATGAATGAATTTTCCACGCCAACAGCTTGGCATATGCCATACCTGTGCCGTTCTGGTTTCTGTTGATTCTTAACATAATTATGGGTGAGCACTAATATGCGTCTCTTATAATTAAATAAAACAAAGCACAACCTCAAAAGCTACTAGTAACTCCTTGTGGTTATCAAGGTCAAGAACAACAAGGAAAGACTGAGCAACTGTCACAGACGGGAGGAGACCGGGGAGATGTGACGAATAATGCAGTCTGGACGCTGGGACAGAAAGAGGCATTAAGGGGAAGACAGGTGAAATGCAAACAGAAATCTGGAGTTTGGTTAACAGCCTGTCCAGGACCAGGTCAGTTTCTGAGTTTCGACAAGAGCGTCTGGTGATGGAAGACGTGAAACAGGGCAGCCGGGCGAGGAGCACAGGGGATCTCTCAGGACCACCTTTGCAACTTCTCTGTACATCAACAATATTCCAAAATAAGATGTCTATTTTTAAAATAAAAGCTGCTCATACTCCTGGGAGAGGAGCAAACACTCCTGCTTTTTATCCCACCCGGGACACAAACACCACATTCAACATACAAACCATGAACATGGCCATCAGAAGGCAGGCAGGACCAACAACAACAAGAGGACACTGTGACCACATGTGTGGGGCTCTGAGAGCCTGGGGACAGACCGGAGGGGCAGGGCATCCAAAGGAGGCTCCCGTTTGTGTCTCCTTCTCCCAGAGCCGCAGGAGGCATATGGAGGAGGGCTGGTAACTCCCTTGTTTGGGGCCAGACACACTTGGATTCAAGTGGCTGTGTGACCTTGGCCAAGTGACCTCGCTTCTCTGAGCCTGGGTTTTCTCATCTGTAAAATAGGATTCACTCGTGCCTTGCTGGTGGGACTACGGGGAGGGAGGTCTCACAAGGTCACGCCCCCAGGATGCTCGCTTGGCTAAGCTGCCTGCACTCAGTGGGGCAGAGGGAAACGGAGGCACCCGAGAGACGGCGGTGGCCGAGTGAGCCAGTGCTGGCGGCCATTTGGGTGTAGGAAAGGAGAGAGAGGTGGAGAGAGGGCGGAGGGGGGTGGGACATTCCTGGGACGCTGCCTCCTGTCCAGTGCCCTTGAACACAGTGGACTTTGCGTCAATTACTGAGACATTTGTAGCTTTCGTGTTTCCTGGCAGCAAGCCCGGCTATGTGTTTTCCCCAGATGGTCCCTGTCGGGGCGGCCTGGGCCCTTCTGTCTGCTGGGGCCACCACCTCTGTGCAAAGAGAGTGGCTCCAGGATGGATCAGCTGTCTAGACGCTGCAGAGCTGTCCACCAGGGACAAGAGCATACGACAGACAAGGGAGCTGCGAGGGGTGGTAATGGGGACAGTTTTATGGGGGATAATGGGACAGCCCCAGAAGCGCTGGCTGGCCAGTCCTTTTATCCCCAAGGACTCTTCCAGCCCAGAATCCTCAGTCTTGATTGTGGCTTCCATCAGGACCAGGGCTTACCGGGCACAAGTAGGCGGTAGTTGTGCTGGAAGCTGCAGGCCAGCCGCCGGGTGAGCAACATGGAGGCCATGATCCCCTCCTTCAGGAACAGAGACCCCCTTCACACGCTACCTCCCTGAAAGAAACCAGAAACCAGAGTTAGGCCAGCAAAGACCACCGCCCTGCCGGCCACGTACCCCAGCCCCACCACTTCCCCACACAGTGGAGAAGGTTCTTCTGACATCAGATGCCCTGCTTCCATGTTGGATATCCACTTTAAGCCAAAGCCCGGTCCCGTGCATTTTCATTGGACCTTGACCACACCCAGGGAGGATTATGATGCCCATTTTCCAGACGGAAAAACAGAGAGGGGGGACAGAGTTGACTCGAGATCCCCCGGTAAGCGAGATGACAAGCTCAGCACGTCATCCACCCGGACAAGGGAGCAAGCCTTCAGACAGGGGGAACATCAAACATCACGGTGACTCTCGATGTGGGAAGCTGGGAGCTCCCTCTGCCCTGTTCCCACGTGGAATATTGGTCGTCGGGCTGTCTGGGGATCCTGGGACCGGCGGAGAGTCAGGCGGCCCATTTTGGGGGGTGTGCACCTCCAGCATGACCAACCGTCCCGAGTTCACTCGACACTGAGGGGGTTCCTGAGATGTGGGACTTTATGTTTCCAAACCAGAAGGGCCCCAGCAAACCGGATGGTTACCCTACACAGCCCCGGGAGTCAGGGCTCCCGGCTCCCGCCTCACAGGTGTGCGGATTCTCTCCAGACTCCTCCTAAGTCCTGCCCCCAAATCCTGGCCTCACTCTGCTGCTGCCTTTCGCATCCGGGCCTGGAGCAGTGCCACCCCCCACATCGTTTATTTCCTTTTCCCACCTCGCCCCACACCCCTCCCCGCCTCCCCAGGCCACCAGTCAAACGTGCTCTCTGTGCGCCTTGCTGTTTGTGGGTCTTCTTGCTAAGTGCCTGCTTCATCATTTGGCATGTGTGTTTTCAGTGGTGTTGTGCTGTATCTTAGAACAACGATGCAACCGCTTCTCGCTCCTACCTGTGGACCCTGTTTTCTGAGTCCTCTCCGTGTGCCGCACACGGTGCTGATCAGTCTACACACACAACGTTTGATATTTATTATTGTTAACGCCCACAACAACTCTATGTGGTCCCCTTTTTACAGATGAGGAAACTGACGCACAGAGAGGCTAAGTGGTGGATCTGAAAACAGAATTCAGATCTCTCTGACCCCAGAGTCAGAAAACTTCATTAGTACACAGTACTGAGCCCAAACGATCCATAGATGTCCATTCGTTCATTCTGCAATGTATATTCCATCACGCACTGACTTTGCACCAGGCACTGTTTCTTGGGCCGGACGTACATACAAGGGTGAATGAGCTAGGTGTGGAGCTGACATCCTTGTGAGGGACACAAGACAACGAGACACACAAGGGCACAAACAAGTGCATAATTACGGCTGGGGAAGTGCTTTTTAGGAAAAGTAGAGGGTGCTAGGAACATGATTTATCAAGGCCCCTTTATGTGCTAGACGCTGTACTGGCACTTTCCAGAACACTCACAACAGGGTAGGTAGGATTATCCCCATTTTACAGACAAGGAAACTGAGGCCCAGAAGTGATGTAATTTAACCCATGTACGTTGCAGCACTATTCACAATGGCCTAAAGGTGGAAGCCACCTAAAGTCCACTGAGGGGTGAATGGACAAAGAAAACGTATATACACACAATGGAATATTACTCAGCCCTAAAAAGGGAGGGAAATTCTGTCACAAGCCACAACATGGATGGACCTTGAGGATGTTATGGTAACTGAAAGATGCCAGTCACGAAAGGAGAAATACTGCGTGATGCCACTCACATGGGGCACCTAGAGTCAAGTTCTTAGAACCAGAAGGTAGAATGATGGTTGCCAGGTGCTGGAGGGAGGAGGAAAAGAGAGCTGTTCAGTGGGTATAGAGTTTCAGTTTTGCAAGATGAACAGGTCCTAGAGATCTGTTGCACCACAAGATATATATCATTAACACTACCACACCGTACACTGAACATGGTTAAGAGGGTAAATTTTACATCCTGTGTTTTTTACCACGATAGAAAGACGTGATGTGATCTACCCAGGGTCAGGGCAGGTCGGCAGTGGAGCCTGGGTTTGGATTCAGAGATGTCCGGCTTCGAAGTCCTAGCTTGTCTCTAACATGGGGGTTTATTCCAAGTTACGGCCACCCGAAACGTGCTCATGACGGCCTCGGGAGGCAGGGCCGCAGCCCTCCCGGGCTCCTCTCTGCCGGGCTGCCCGACTCTACCCTCCGCCCCGATGTGTGTAGAAACCCCATCTTGGACCTGGATGAGGAACAAGAGGGCCCGCCCGCCCAGTTCTCCGATCCTTTGATGACAGCATGGAGGATGCTCCAACCAGAGGTGACAGTCACTGATCCAGAGAGATCCTCAGCTGGAGGGGAGGCCTGAATCCCCGAAGACAGACTGGAACAAGGATGGATGATGGGTTAGATCCAGAATGCCAAGTGCACGTGGCTTACCAGTGCAGGTGAGGAACTGTGTGGGCATCCGGCACCGAGCTCAGGATGACGAGTTGGCAGAACCCATAACCCCGTGCCCCCATGGCTAATGGAATGTTGGGTTGTAATATTAGAAGCAGAGAGTGAAAAGGGGGGAGGTGGCTGGCATCGGCTTGAGGATCCACAAGTATTCTACAAATATTCATGTGCACCTACTGTGCGTCGGCCCTCCACTGGGCACTGGGGTACAGCGGTCAGTTAGATTCAGTCCGGTCCTCTAAGTCTCACCAGGTACTGAGCGCTCACATGTACGAGCTCCTGGCTGATGCTGCAGACACCACCCCGTTTCATCCCCAGAGCTCTATGGGGTGGCTGCCATCATTAGTCTGTCTTCACAGACGAGGCAACTGAGGCTTGCTGGGGAGTGGGTGCCGGAGGCGTCTTTTGGGGTGTCTGCTCAAGACACCAAGACTTCCCATTCTCAGAAGCTTCCTGCTCTGTCCACAGAGGTGCAGACCCAGCTGCCAGGTCTGTTCTGTGTGACCCACTGGCCACGGTTGACCGGACTGGGTTGGACCAGAGTCCTGAGCACTGTGGGGTCAGCTGCCATCTACCCCGTGAGAGAAGCCAGCATTCAGACAGAGTGTTTGGGTGGAGAAGAATGTGGCCTATGCAGCGAAGTCACCACCAGCAGAAGCAGCCACCAGAGAAAGAGAGCGGGTTCTGGAAGTGGGGGCCTCCATGGTTCCATCTCAAGCCTGCAGCCCAGTTTGGCATGGCAGTGAGCCGGAGTCCCCCTGGTCCTGGGGATGCGCGGGTGGAGGCGGGGGAGAGCCAGAGTGTCAGGCTCATAGACGTCCCTCCCCATGGAAGGAAACATCAAGAGGGAGGGAAAAGTGTTCCCATCCCAATAGTGCCTAGGTAAGAAAGTCTAGAAAGCCCCACCCCCGTTTTTGGCTTGCTTGTATTACTTTGAGTGGATTTCTCTTGCTTGCAAACAGAGTCCCGGCTAACAGCAGGGCTAAAGCATCAAACTCATGAGCCCCAAATCTTGGCAGTGCACTGGGAGTGACAGTGCCTCTTCGGTTCAGCATTGCAGGTGGAGTCCAGCCCTGCTGGGTGGCTAAGGATAAAGACTTCCGGCCAGCAAACCTCCTTCTCTCCCGGTGGGAGCTCCAGGATTCCTCCTGGGTGGAAGCGACTGTAGGAGGAGGTTGCTGGGTGAGATTCTGAAGGGTCCTTTATCCCCCTCCATCTGCTCAACCACCCAGTGAGGAGGGCACCTCCCCATTTCAGAGATGGGGAGACGGAAGCTGGAGGTGCTACGGGAGCTGGCCTTGGTCATAGGATTGCTGGGACCGTCCAATCCCAAAGCCTTTGCTTTCACTCATTGCAACATATCGATTAATTTAGCCAATAACAAAACACCTAACTTTGGTCTATTCAGGCTTGATGGATACAAATGATCTAGTTCAGAGAGAAAATTCTGTTGCTCTTCACCAGAGGAAATATTATTGAGAAAAGCATGAACGTGAAAGGTGTGACCATCAGTTAACTGAGAAACCATACTCTTTCCTTGATAACTCAATAGGTGTTTTTTTTAAAATCTATACTAGCACTTCCGACTCCATGCAAGCCTGTTAATTTAGCGGAGCAATTGCTGTCTCTCATTTAAAACCATTTGTCTCGAACCGGAGCACTTAAGACTCCACACCATTCAATTCCCATTAAACGTGTTTTTGAAAATGCGAGAAGCTCGGAGAACTCGAATATTAACATTTGAATGCTCCGCAAAAAGTGAGACGCACACCGGCACACTTTCAATTACAGAATGTCACACTGGGAAATAGATGGAGGTGACATTTCCATGGCCCGCAGTTGAAACTGACCTTATAAGGAAACCTGATCTCCATCAGACATTAATTCTGAGCACGACAGAGTTCTAACAACCAGAAGAGTTAATGTCACTTGTTCACTTTCTCTAGCCCACTAATTCAATCAACAGAAATTAATTAGGCTCCTGTTAGAAGCAAGGCACTGCATTATTTAGGTGCAGGAGAAACGAAGACAGATAAAACACCCCTCTCTTTCTGAAGCCCGTTAATTTAGTGGTGGAGGAATGAGGGGGAGAAAATGGGAGCTCTACTGCACTAGGCCGCTTTACCCATCATGTCAATAAATTCTTAAAATAACCTGGCAAGGTAAGTATATAAAGATTTTCCAGTTCACTGTCAACAACTGCTTCTGTATAAGACAGGATGCAATCAGGACTTTCGTGGGCCTGAGCAAGGTGCCACGGGAACACAGAGAGATGAATTCTGGTGGCGGTTAGGATGCTAATGCGGCGTCACCTGAGCTGCACCTTGAGGGGCTGGGAGGTTTCAGAAGCCAAAGAAGAAAGGAGAGGCAAGACCTGAGCAAATGCTCGGGGGCGTGAGAGGCCTGGAACGGGCAAGGATTTGGGGGCACAGAGAGAGGGGCTGGGACCTGAAATCACAGAGTGGTGGAAGGGAAGATGAGCGGCAGGACCAGCTGGAGCTGCCTGCCTGCTGATAGGACCCTCTGGAGACCCTCTCAAGGGGGAGGGAGCCCAGCTCT